ATTTTTGAGAAGAAAAGTAACGATTCTGAAGGGATTTTGGGTATTTTTAGAGCCGGGATGTCATGGAAAAGGGTTGAAAAAGAGAAAAATGTGTTTATGAAATTGAAAGAAATCAAAGTTTATGCTTAGAATTCTTTCAGAAAGCTTAGAACTGCTTAGAATTCTTTCAGAAAGCTTAGAACTGCTTAGAATGCTTTTCAGAAAGCTTAGGATGCTTAGAATGCTTTTCAGAAAGCTTAGAATACTTAGAATGCTTTTCAGAAAGCTTAGAATGCTTTTCAGAAAGCTTAGAATGCTTAGAATGCTTTTCAGAAAGCTTAGAATGCTTAGAATGCTTTTCAGAAAGCTGAGAATGCTTAGAATTCTTTCAGAAAGCTTAGAACTGCTTAGAATGCTTTTCAGAAAGCTTAGAATGCTTAGAATGCTTTTCAGAAAGCTTAGAATGCTTAGAATGCTTTTCAGAAAGCTTAGGATGCTTAGAATGCTTTTCAGAAAGCTTAGAATGCTTTTCAGAAAGCTTAGAATGCTTAGAATGCTTTTCAGAAAGCTTAGGATGCTTAGAATGCTTTTCAGAAAGCTTAGAATACTTAGAATGCTTTTCAGAAAGCTTAGAATGCTTTTCAGAAAGCTTAGGATGCTTAGAATGCTTTTCAGAAAGCTTAGAATACTTAGAATGCTTTTCAGAAAGCTTAGAATGCTTTTCAGAAAGCTTAGGATGCTTAGAATGCTTTCAGAAAGCTTAGGAATGCTTAGAATGCTTTTCAGAAAGCTTAGAATGCTTAGAATGCTTTTCAGAAAGCTTAGAATGCTTAGAATGCTTTTCAGAAAGCTTAGAATGCTTAGAATGCTTTTCAGAAAGCTTAGAACTGCTTAGAATTCTTTCAAGAGATTTTAGATATAAATTTTGCTATAAATTATAAACAATAATGAGGCAGACTGACGACTGACGCAGATCGTAGCCGACTGGATAGGAGTGTTGTCTCCTAGTCGGGGACAACACTCCTATCCAGTCGGGATAGGGAGTGTTAAGAGTTCGATCCCGGAAACTAGAAACATTGCTTCTTTTTCCCATTATTATGGGTTTTTTCTTAACAACATTTGGGTAATAGGGGTAATTAGGGATATTAGGGAATAAGAATATACTTTATAAGGCGGCGTCAAACGGGGAGGAAAGAAGAGGGACGGTAGCCTAGGCGGTTGTTCGCTGGTCTACAAAGCTATGCCTTTCTTGCTCGCGAGTTCATCCCCTCCCAACCAAACTTTGGATAAAGGTTTCCTCCGTTGTGTTGTAATTCATTATTTGTGTCGAATAAATATACTTTATACTTTAATAATAATTTGATGGTAAAGATTTGTTTAGATTTGTTTAGATCTGTTTCAAGATTGCATTTAGATTAGATTTGATGTACTTTATGCTCAAATAAACTCCTTCTCACACACTTTCCTTCAACAGAAACACTCTTTTTACCCCATTTAGCCTTCAGTAGAAAAATTTCAATAGAAAAATTGATAAAGTTAGTGTGGCAGAAGAGAAGAAGGTGTTTGTTTGTGCTAGTATTAGAAAAAAAAGCAGTATAAGTAAGTACAAGCTAGTACAAGCTAGTATAAGCTAGTACAAGCTAGTATAAGCTAGTATAAGCTAGTATAAGCTTGTTTAAAAGAAGTTACAACAAAGTCAAAGCATTTAAAGCTTTAATGAAATAAAGTTCTTGCAAAAGTTTACATTCTTTTTGAGTTGTTTACGAGTGAAAAGAAAAAGAAAGAAAAAAGGCATTTCGTATATTTCTGCATATCGATTTTGAGAGAGAAAAAAAGGGGGAAAAGAGAAAAAGAATTTTGAGGGAAAAGAAAGAAAAGGGGGAAAAGTAGCATTCAGCTGAAAAAGAAAGGATCTCCAATGGAAAATGAACAGAAAATGAACAGAAAATGAAAGCAATGTGTGTGTGTGTGCCGAATTGCTGTCTAAAATTGCCCAACTCTAGAATAGGTTTCAGTTTGCTTTGGAGAGAAAAAAACACGAGTGGAGTTTGTTCAAAAAGTGCCCCTTGAGTTACGGTAGTTACTATTTTCTATTTTGTGCCCCTCAATTTTATTGTCTATATGTTGCGTCCGTTTACGAGCTCAACATTCAGATCGGATTCGGATGTCCTGAGGAACTAAGGTTTAGATCAGATTCGGATGTCTTTAGGAACTAAGGTTTAGATCGGATTCGGATGTCTTGTGGAACTAAGGTTTAGATCGGATTCGGATGTCTTGTGGAACTAAGGGTCAGATCGGATTCGGATGTCTTGTGGAACTAAGGGTCAGATCGGATTCGGATGTCTTTAGGAACTAAGGTTTAGATCGGATTCGGATGTCTTGTGGAACTAAGGGTCAGATCGGATTCGGTGTCTTGTGGAACTAAGGGTCAGATCGGATTCGGATGTCTTTAGGAACTAAGGTTTAGATCGGATTCGGATGTCTTGTGGAACTAAGGGTCAGATCGGATTCGGATGTCTTGTGGAACTAAGGGTCAGATCGGATTCGGATGTCTTTAGGAACTAAGGTTTAGATCGGATTCGGATGTCTTGTGGAACTAAGGGTCAGATCGGATTCGGATGTCTTTAGGAACTAAGGTTTAGATCGGATTCGGATGTCTTGTGGAACTAAGGTTTAGATCGGATTCGGATGTCTTGTGGAACTAAGGGTCAGATCGGATTCGGATGTCTTTAGGAACTAAGGTTTAGATCGGATTCGGATGTCTTGTGGAACTAAGGTTTAGATCGGATTCGGATGTCTTGTGGAACTAAGGGTCAGATCGGATTCGGATGTCTTGTGGAACTAAGGGTCAGATCGGATTCGGATGTCTTGTGGAACTAAGGGCCAGATTGGATTCGGATGTCTTTAGGAATTTAGAATGGAACTTCAGGCATTTTAGCTCGATTTTTTTGGCTGTTTTCATAATTTTCTCTCGGAAACCTTCCACACTATCTGATCATTTTTCAATTTTAAATAAATTGTTGATAAGCATTTAGATGTTTTGATGTCAATAATTTTGTTGATCAACAATTGATCAACGCTTTGAACAACGCTTTGATCAACAATTTTATTTTTGGAAAAGGATAAAAATGCTTGAAGTTTCATTAACATCAAATTAGCATTAAAGTTTAATTCGTAAACGGACGTCCGAATCCAATCTGAACGTTTGTTCGTAAACGGACGCAACATATGTCGGTTGTTGCAACAACGCAACAGTCGTTGAATAAATTCCATCAGTGAGATCAGAAATCTCCAACAAGAACTAGTGAAGAATGAAGAAGAACCTGAATGTAGAAAATCAGGCACACAAAAGTTCAAATTTCTTTCAATGTGCTTACTGAAAATTTAGGACTCTGAATTTAGAGTTAAATTGTTTTTTTTTTTAAAGAGCCCAACCAACATCGTTTTTGGCAGCATTTCTCTTGTGGATTGGTTAAAAATCGATTTACGAGTTCGTTTTGCAAAATTCAGAGAGATAAGGAACCAAATTCAGAGAGATAAGGAACAAAATTAAGAGAAATAAGGAACAAAATTAAGAGAAATAAGGAACAAAATTCAGAGAGATAAGGAACCAAATTCAGAGAGATAAGGAACCAAATTAAGAGAGATAGGGATGGCTTTACACTTATTTTAGACTTTTCCTTTGATTAGGCTGGAAATTCGTTTTTTTTTACATCGGCAAAGTTATCGGCCTTGCAAGTGGTAGCCGATTCAGCATAGGACATCAAAACGTTGGATATTTCTTTGAAAAGTGGTGACGATGAAGATAAACGCTTTCTGTTTTGGATGAAAGATGTACTTTTCGACGCTTGCGTAGTTTCCGGGTATTGGAAAACTCCGGGTATCTTGAACGGATTATCACGCTTTGTAGGCCGATAACTTCGCCCAGAGGTTATACTTTTGCTAACTTTTATAACATTTTCCAGATGACATTTCAGGCTTTCAAATGATACCAAGTAGAGCTTGATTGGGGCTTGATTGGGGCTTGATTGGGGCTTGATGGGAGAATTCTCAACCCTATCCAACTTGGACTTGGAGATTGGCTTGGCTTGACTTGGAGATTGGCTTGGCTTGACTTGGAGATTGGCTTGGCTTGACCTTTTTTGCCAACCCTACCCAACCATAATTGTTTTGGCTTAGGCTTAGGCTTCGGAAAAGCTCCAGGATTGCTTTGCTGTGATTGCTTTAATCTGTAGAGCTTTTGAAACATTCCTAACATTTGAAACAGCTTTTGATACATATCTCAAAGGTATTACCGTAACTAATTCACTTTTTCTGGCTTCGATATCCATTCTTAGCTTAGACTTATCCAATCTTTTATCCAATCTTTTATTCAATATTTTATCCAATCTTTTACCCAATCTTTTATTCAATCTTTTTCTCCTTTTCCTTCCAATCTTTTCCTCCCAATTCCACTCAAAAGATCGCAAAGATTTAAACAATTGAACTACTTTGAAAGGACAAAAAAAAAGAAAGATTTATTGCTAATGATCAATTGAAAACTCATAAAAGGTATATCGATAAAAAGACAAAAAAAAAGATTACTGAAATTTCTCTCACCAACGAGATGTTCCACGATGAGAAATGAAAAAAGAAAAGAAAGAAATGAAAGAAATGATATAAAAACGCACATCGATCTCCTCATTCTCTTTGTTAAAAATAATCGCAAAACTTTATTTAATCTCTAATTTGTTTGCTCTGCTTTCGAAATGAAAAACAGCTTTTTAGGGTTTTTTTTTTTCACAAGTCTTTTTCAAATCAAAAATCTTTTTCAGATGAAGAATGACCGAATAATTCCTGCCAATGAACTTTCAAGCGTTTCAAGCCTTTCAAATTCAAAAATTGTTGACAATTCGTCAACGAAATCAGTCTCAATCATTAAAAAAGAATGCACTGAATGGCGAAAAGTCTACATCGGAGTCTTTCTACTCTTTTTTGCGAATTTTGAGAAAAATGTGCTTTCACTCACGGATTGGCTTTACATGAAAGAGGTTTGATAAAAGGATTTTTGTTTTGTCAATGTGTTTTCAAGTTTTAAGGTACAAGGATGGTTTAAAGTTTTTAAAGAAGCTGAAGAAGCTGAAGAAGCTGAAGAAGCTGAGGAAGCTGAAGAAGCTGAAGAAGCTGAAGAAGCTTAAGAGGCTTAAGAAGCTTAGAAATCTTCTTAAAATTGTCAAGAATTGAATAGAATAGTCAGAAATCTTTCAGAAACCTTAGTAGATATGGGATTTCTGAAGAATTATTGACAATGATGTTGGCAAATAAAAAAAAGAGTTTATAAAGTGTCATTGATCGAAAGTACTTTGTCTTTTATTTAAAGTATGACGTAAAGTATGACGGAGTCAGACTTTGAGCCAGTTTGAGCCAGTTTGAGCCAGTTTGAGCCAGTTTGAGTCGGTTTGAGTCAGTTTGAGTCTTATTTTAAGTTAATTTCAGTCAATTTTAGTCAATTTTAGATAATTTTAGTCTATTTTAGTATTTTTATCTCAAATAATTAAATCAAAACTTTTTAATTTTCATCGTTTTTGTCTCCTCTCTTTGACTTTAAATCTTTTAAAAAAATCAACTAAAGCAAGCTTTTTAGAACTTCTTAAAGAACAATTTCTCAATAAATAATAGGAATTTTTGATAAAATAACCCAGAGATTAATTGGTTCAAGATTTATTTTTAAAAATAGCTTTCAAAAAACGGACAAGACTTTCTGGTTAGATAGATTGATGGCCTAGCTTCTGGCCGTCTCCTGATCAGCTTTGCGGGTCAAACAAGCTAGATCATGTTCTGTTTTCTAGCTTGGTACTGGTACTGATTGAAAAAGAAGTTTCTGGGCTAAGCCAAGTCAAAACCATGTTATTAGAAATTACTCTAGTTGGACCCATCATTGACGCCTGAATATCTCGGAGTTGTGATTGGAGTGGCTCGAATTGGTCATGCAATCACGACAATCCTCTTCAGTTATTGGAGACAAAGAGCAAAAACGACAAAGTAAGGAAAAGATGGAGAAATTTGAGAAATTTGTGCTAACCAAATCGTTACGAACTACTGTATTTATTCAGATAAATGCCAACCCCCTCGACCAACTTTAGACACTTCGTTCTCAGCCCAGTCTTGAGATATTTTTATGTTTTATATGTCAAAATATAGCCCTTATTGTCTTCTATCTTTTGGTATTTTAAACATAAAAATATTTCAAAATGGGGCTGAGAACGAGACGTCTAAACTCAAAGGCGTCTAAACCCCCTCGATCAACTTTAGACGTCTCGTTCTCAGCCCCATTTTGAAATATTTTGATGTTTAATATACCAAAAGATAGAAGACAATAAGGGCTATATTTTGACATATTAAACATAAAAATATCTCAAAATGGGGTTGAGAACGAGGCGTCTAAAGTTGGTCGAGGGGGTCGGCGTTTATTAGAATAAATACGGTAAGCCTTTATGCTAACTTTATGCTAAATTGCTTACTTTTTGTCAGCATGGCTTTGAATTTTCAAAAACACGAACTAAGGTAGAATTAAAGTAGAATTAAAGTAGAGTTAAGATCGAATTAAGGTAAAAACAAGCTGATTTTAGACAAGGTCTCCTTTTGGGTCGTCTCGGCGATGCACTGGCTTTTTCTTTATATTGTGCAATCGAAATGTTCGGTTCAACGAAACGCTATGTGTTTCTGATTGTTTATTTTATTGTCTACAGTTTTGGATTTGGTATTTTTCTCAAGAAAAAAAGAAAATGTTTAAAGTTTTAGGGTCAAGTATCACACTGCGAACGTATCTCGTTGACGTTTCTCTGCCCGAGGATCGATCTTCCGTTTTCGCGTTGAGAACGCTCGCTGTTGTTGGGGGAATGCTTTTACCACCATGTTAGTTCTTTCATTATAAGGAACCGAATTGGATCCGTATTGGATCAAAATAGGAACCGTATTGGATCCAAGTTGGATCAAAATAAGAACCGTATTGGATCAAAATAAGAGCCGTATTGGATCAAAATCAGAACCGAATTGGAATCGTATTGGATCAAAATAGGAACCGTATTGGAACCGTATTAGATCAAAATAGAAACCGTATTGGATCCGTATTAGATCAAAATAAGAGCCGTATTGGATCAAAATAAGAGCTGTATTGGATCCGTATTGAATCAAAATAAGAACCGTATTGGAACCGGCTCCTATTTTTCCATCTCATCTCATCACCTTCATCGTTTTGTTACAAAATTACTTCATTATTACTTTATAAGAAAATCTCTTTATAACAAAATTTCTTTATTACTTTATTATGACTTTCTTACAAAATTTCTCGTCGATTTTAGTGCTTCAATTGCCATTCACAAGTCTCGATTATCCCGGAATCGCGATTGGAACAGATATGGTGAGAAATGGGATGCGTTCATCTAGAAATAGAAATTTCTAAAGTCTTACGATAGGTTTTTAAACTAGAAAGAGAATAGAGGAGTTTGGAACAAGAATAGAGAATTCAAAAAAAAGTGAAAGTGAACCAGAGCAGTAAAATAAAGCAAAGTAAATAGAGCAGTAGAATCTGGGTGATAAGAAAATTTGGGTACAAAGTTTTTCCGTAAAGCAATTCTCTGAACTAGAAGCAGGCAAAAGGCGAGTCCTCGCTTGACTTTTCGCTTTGCCTGCGTCTACTTTGGTGCAGAAATAAAGCCTACTAAATAAAGCCTACCAAATAAAGCCTACTAAATAAAGCCTACTAAATAAAGCTTACAAATAAAGTCTACTAAATAAAGCCTACTAAATAAAGCCTACTAAATAAAGCCTACTAAATAAAGCCTACTAAATAAAGCGTATCAAATAAAGCCCACTAAATAAAACCTACTAAATAAAGCTTACTAAATAAAGATTACTAAATAAAGCCTACTAAATAAAGCCTACTAAATAAAGCCTACTAAATAAAACCTACTAAATAAAACCTACTAAATAAAGCCCACTAAATAAAACCTACTAAATAAAGCCTACTAAATAAAGCCTACTTTGCTTCATCAAGATATCTATTTTGCCTAAAGACTTGTCAGTGAGAGGATTCGAACCTCTCGAAAGGGGATTCAAAAGCGCAGCAAGCCACTATCCACTACACCACCGCGTCGTTTATCCGGAAGCTTGTATTAGCTCTGCAAGAATGCCTTTATCAGCTCTGCAATCTAAACTTCTTTGCTCGATAGCTCGCGATACAGAGCTCCATTAGTGAAGCTAAAATCACATTTAGAATCACCGTTCAAAACTCTATCAGATAAGCTAAAGCCGATACAAAAATTTCGCTCTAGCGCCATTCCAGCCATTCCAGAACCGCTTTAAAGCTTTGAGATCCGCTTTAACTCGTGAATTCAGATTCGTCTCAACGTTTACTCGGGCCCTTTGTTGATCACATTTCTCGCCAATATAATTGCCACTCTCACCGTCATTTTTCTCCTCTCCGAGCCGGCGATCACCAAGAAAGCAATCGAATTAAAGAAAGCTAAAAGATTAGGTTTAGAATGATAAATGAAAATATGATAAATTGAGATTTTTTTTTTAGAAAATCTTTCAAGTGTTCCATTTCTGAAGAGGCTTTCGACTTTCTTCTTCAAACCGAATTTCTCATGGCATCTTATTATAGTGATTTGTGTTGTAAAAGTCGGAATTTATGCAGCGCTTTCGACAGTTTCTGTGTAAGTTTCAATATTTCCTTAATTATATCATCAAAAATGTAAGGAAATAAAAAAAATAGATCATTAATATGTAATTGAGAAGAAAAGGTCGACTGGCTAAGCCAAATGCTATGCGACCTGTACCATTCGATGCAGAATTTTGTGCTGATTCCGAATATGTATTCTGTTTTTGCTATGGAGCACTCTGTCAAAAGTTATACGCGTTTAAAGTTTTGTAAGTTTCAGTGAGTAAGGAGACCTTAAAACGAACGTAGACCTTAAAACCGGACTTTTAGAAGCAGTGTAGGGGTGGCTGAGTGGCATTAGCTTAGAATACAAGGCAAGACCTCCCAGTTTCGAATCCGTCAGCTGTTTTTGGTTTTAGTCGGTCAGTTTTTAGGCTAAAATAATGTTCCCTATCTCCGCACACAATCGTACAGCATTTGGCACACTACAAATACAGATAAGGATACCGTCATTCCAAAAACGAATGGAACTTTTCCCAAAAATCGCGATCTTTCTCCGAAAATCAGATGCAGGATTCGAACCAGGGAGGTCCCGCCCTGTATTCTAACCGCATACCACTCGGCCACCGCTGCAATGCTCTCAGGCCTGCAAAAGTCCGGTTTTAAAGGCTTTGTTTGTTTTTTGAAACTTTTGACAGAGTGTCGTTTAACAAAAACGGAAGCCTAAGCATAAGGCTCTAGTCTGGCCGCAGCGAAAAAGTGTAGGCCTGGCTCAGTGGTAGAGCGCTCGCCCATTGAGCGGGAGATCGCGGGTTCGACTCCCAGCGCGTCCAACTAATCTTTTAATCTATCCAATCTTTTTAATCTATCTAATCTCTATTTAGCGTGCACGCTGCTTGGGCACAAATCGCTTTCGGTTGGTCATCGGCTGAAACAGTTGTCCAGATGACAAAGGCGAAGATCATTTTGGGAATCGTTTCCGTGGCAATCACGCTTTTTCTCTTCAAGTTCAGCAAAAAGTGAGCAGCTTTTTGGATAGTTGAAAAGATGATCTCAAATTCTATTATGTTTAGGGTCGGTGATCATTTGGTGCTCTTGATTTGCTCGATTTTCATGCTCGGTTATTTCTTTATCACGTATCCTCTTTCACCGCTCACCGTCTCCACAACTGCGCCATTTAATGGTTGGTTTTGAATACAGAATGTAGCAATATAGCTTTCTGTTAGTTATAAAAGATAATCAAGGGTTATTCAAAGCTGTAAGACCAAGCCTGGCTTTAATCCAGGTTTTGAGCTTTTGAAACATCACTAACATCATTATCGAATATTTGATCCATTAGAATGAAATTGATAAAAGATTGGATAAAAGTCTGCTTTAAGAATGGATACCGTATTTGATTTGGTATTCTAAATGTGCCTAATGCTTTAAAAGCTCAGATTCTGGCCCCGCCCCTTTTCCCATTAGCAATCTAACTTTAATCTCAAATTTCTTGGCGTTGGGTTGTTCGATTTAAATGTTCTTGATATCATTAAATGCGCCAAGTCTTTCTCTATCGATTGGTTGAAAAAAATGTTTAAATTGGATACCCCAACATTGAGAAATCTGAGCTCAAAGTTAGATTGCTAATGGCAAAGGGAGCGTATAAAAGATCTTTCTAGCCCCGCCCCTTTTACCAATCCAACTTTGAGCTTAAATTTCTTGGCTTTGGGCTGTCCAATTCAAACACTTTTTATATCAATCGATAGAGAAAGACTTGGCCTATCTAATGATATCAAGAACATTTAAATCGAACAACCCAACGCCAAGAAATTTGAGATTAAAGTTAGATTGCTAATGGGAAAAGGGGCGGGGCTAGAAAGATCTTTTATACGCGCCCCTCCTCTTTGCCATTGGCAGTCCAACTTTGAGCTTAAATTTCTTGGCTTTGGGCTGTCCAATTCAAACAGTTTTTATATCAATCGATAGAGAAAGTCTTGGCCTATCTAATGATATCAAGAACATTTAAATCGAACAACCCAACGCCAAGAAATTTGAGCTCGAAGTTGGATTGCTAATGGGAAAAGGGGCGGGGCCAGAATCTGAGTTTTTAAAGCATTAGGCACATTTAGAATACCAAATCAAACACGGTATTCATTCTTAAAGCACTTTTAAGCACTTAAAGCATTTTTATCCAATCTTTTATCAATTTCATTCTATTGGGTTGATGCATAATTATCCGGACTTCTTTTATAAATGATTTTATTTAACAAAAAATAACATAAATAGTTAGAAAAATATGTTTAATTGATTATTCTGGAGCATATTCACCGCCTACATCAATAACTGATTGCCATTTGCTTGGAAGACGATCGATTCCACGAGCGAAGAATAAACGATCTTTGGAGGCAATCCACGCTTTAACATCGTCTATCAAGTCATCCAAATCGTTGTAGATCTTATTTGTTTGCCAATTTTTGAGCGATCGATTGACGTGGTAGTCCGTTGGGGCTTCTCCAGTTCTTTGAGATCGCGAAACGACTCTGCGGCAGACCATCCCTTTTCGAAGTGGTAGAGCATGATATGGCGAAGATGGATATGATTGTCGACACGCATTTTGTTCACTAAAGAATAACGAATATTTTAAAAAAAAGAAATAGACAAAAAGCTTTCAAAACAAAAAAGATACAAGCACGCAAAAAGAAGTCCGGATAATTATGCATCAACCCAATAATTTCAGCTTCCACTCACGGCGGTTGCAACGAATCCGAATACAGCTGGTGTGGGGCTCGAGTCGGAAACCCTGATTTATGGGTTTATTCGTCGGTAAGCAAGGGTTTTTCTGTAAAAAACGATTAAAGATTTAGGTGACCGTGATTATAATCATTGCTCAAGTTGGATTGATTTCCTCGGATGCAATCTTTTCGAACTTCTTAGAAAAAATTGATCAGGTTTAGTGGAAAGGGAGAGAAATCCACAGAGAAATCCGCAAAATGCACAAAAAAACAAAACAAAACAAAGCAAAGCACAGAATCTATTTGCTCAAAGCTCTAAGTGCTCAAAGCTCTAAGTGCTCAAAGCTCTAAGTGCTCAAAGCTCTAAGTGCTCAAAGCTCTAAGTGCTCAAAGCTCTAAGTGATTCAAAAGACTCAGATCAAAAGACTTGTTCTAAATGTTCCCGATTTCATTACAGAACATGATGCAAGGGATGGTCGTTCTTTTCAGTGACGGTGTCCAAATGACTGCATCGATGTACTCGGCGTAAGTGCTTTTACAAAAGTCAAAAGCTCAAAGCCACTTTCTTTCAGTGATATGTTCACTGCTTGGGGCCTTGAGCCATTATGGATTCTCAATGTCGCTCTCGCAGCTATCATTTTGCTCATCTCAATCGTTTATTTCAAAAGATTCCGATGGAAAACAGAATGAGAAGACGATTGTTTTGAAGAAAAGAAGATTGTTTTGCGCAAAATAAAGGCTCTAAATTGATGAAAAGTTATCCAATCAAATATAAATCTACCATAAAGACTCTAATAGAAGCCCCCTATCGGAGTTGAAGTTTACTCTCAAACAAACGCACAGATCTTGACACCAGTACGTTTATTTCAGCGGGCTGAGATATCAAATTAAAGTAGAGAGAATGGGTGATTTTTTGAGATATAACACAGATTTTTAGCATTAACCAGCGCTTAGAAAAAAATGATTGAAAAGTGGCAAAAAAAACGCCGATTTTTTTTCATCAGTTTTTCATCATTTTTCAATCATTTTTTTCTAAGCGTTGGTTAATGCTAAAAATCTGTGTTATATCTCAAAAAATCACCCATCCTCTCTACTTTAATTTGAAACCCAGGCGCATAGAAAAAAATGTACTGAGGTCGAGATCTGAGCGTTTGTTTGAGAGTAAACTTCGACTACGCGACGCGACGATAGGGGGACTTCTATTAGAGTTTTTACGGGATATCACCTTTTCTATGCAATCCGAATGTGGTAAACGATTAACAAAAGGACAAAATGGTGAAGATTAACAATACTAACAATATTAACAAACAATAAATAACAATAACACCATAGAAAGTCGATCTAGAGACTTTTCAGAAAATGCAAACACGAATTTGCATATCTTTTACTGCATTTACATTTAGGAACTTACAAAATACGATTTCCATTTCTGTTGCTTGCCGATTTACATTTCTGTTTCTGTTATTTACCGTATTTATTCGAATAGAAGAGCAGCCTTTAATAGAATTGATTGACTCCTCAAAAACAGGACTTTTCAGGATTTCTTTTTAGCTAAAGTTCTTGATATGACTTCAGATAGGTGTTTAACTTTAACTTTAGCTTTAACTTTAACTTTACCAGTAAAATTGAGCTTCTATTAAAGCTCGTTATCTACTTTTTCGATCAGCCGATTCTAGGAGATTGAAAAATAAAAGAAAATTGTCTTTTATTAGGATAAATACGGCAAATTGCGGTAATTTGCGTGGGTAAAAGCCACAAGAACCAAGAGAAATCAAGTCACAAGACGTTCATGTGGTTAATTTTGCTGTAGGTTAATCTTTTGCTGTAGATTAGTCGATAAGCTGTAGGTTAATTTGAAAAAGTAAAAACGTGCCACGTGTCGCTGACTGGTTAAGTGTCTTTTATCTTAATCGGAAGTTGTCTTTTATCTTCATCGAGGGTTCGAACCCCGCGTGCGATTGTCACGCCCTTCGGATTTCCTTTCCCTTCGGGTTGAGAGGTTTTCTGGAGGGTGGTCTGGTGGTTGTGACCCCAGTAGGGTAGTCTGGTGGTTGTGGCCCCAGTTCTTTGACAAGTGACAAGCCACTCCTTCATCGTCATCTTCTCTCCACCGCCAGAAAAAGCTATTTAGTTCCCCACTAAGCTTAGGGTTAGGGAGCCGCCTGTCATGGCGTGGGTTAAGTTAAGATATAGCCTAGTATTGTGTGTGTTGTTGTATTTTGATTGATGTATATCGTAAATAAACCACATCCGGGTGTCCCCGGTGACTTCAGATAGAAAGATGACTTAAAGATGACTTCAGATAGATAGATGACTTAAAGATGACTTCAGATAGATGTTTAACTTTAACTTTAACTTTAAATTTAACTTTACCAATAAAATTGAGCTTCTATTAAAGCTCGTTACCTACTTTTTCGATCAGCCGATTCTAGGAGATTGAAAAATAAAAGAAAATTGTCTTTTATTAGGATAAATACGGTAAATTGCGGTAATTTGCGTGGGTAAAAGTCACAAGAACCAAGAGAAATCAAGTCACAAGACGTCCATCTCGTTCTAATCGATAAGCTGTAGGTAAATAAAAAGTCCCAAGTAAAAACGTAAATCCAAATGCCAAATGCTATGTCTTAACTTAAGACATAGCATTTGGCATTTGGATTTAGGTGGATTAAGCCATGACAGGCAGCTCCCTAAGCTCCACCAACCCTAAGCTTAGTTAGCTAACTAAATAGCTTTTTCTGGTGGTGGAGAGAAGATGACGATTCACAGGAGGAAATGCCGAACTCAGAAACAAAGAAAGCAGCGAACTAAGAAAGCAACGAAGCAGAAACACGCAACGATCTTTCAATTCAATTGGTTTCAGTTGACTTGCTTGTTTGTAAACTTAAAGATTTCACTCCGCGCTTCTAGATTTTCCAATTTTCAAAGCTTTAAACCCAAACCGATCCATTCCTTGGAAAATTCGTCTGATGCAAACCGCGAAAATGTATCCAAAAGACGGGCCGGTCTTTCTTCTTCGCGTAAAAGTGATAACTTTTTTTTATTTCACTCGTTACCCCGACACTCTCTCGGTTACATCAAAAACATTTTTTTTTCTGACTTTCCACTTGGATTGCATAAAAGCGAGAATTGTGAAAGATAAGGCGATTTTTTTTCTGGTTACACCAAAATTCGATGAATATTCGAGAAGTGAGATGTGGCTGCAATTGATTACATGTGAGTGATCTAATAGAGATCTGATAGAGATTTTTTAGTGGTCTAATAGTGATCTAGTAGAGGTCTAATAGAGATCTAATAGTGATCTAGAGCTCTAATAGAGATCTAGTAGTGATCTAGTAGAGATCTAGAGCTCTAATAGTGATCTCAGAGATCTAGAGATATAATAGAGGTCTATTAGTGATCTAATAGTGATCTCGTAGAGATCTAATCGATGTCTAGTAGAGATCTAGAGCTCTAATAGAGATCTAGTAGAGCTCTAATAGTGATCTAGAGCTCTAATAGAAATCTAGAGCTCTAATAGTGATCTCAGAGATCTAGAAATCTAATAGAGGTCTATTAGGGATCTAGTAGTGATCTAGTAGAGATCTAGAGCTCTAATAGTGATCTAGAGCTCTAACAGTGATCTAGTAGAGATCTAGAGCTCTAATAGTGATCTAGAGCTCTAATAGTGATCTAGTAGAGATCTAGAGCTCTAACAGTGATCTAGTAGAGCTCTAATAGTGATCTCAGAGATCTAGAGATATAATAGAGCTCTATTAGTGATCTAATAGTGATCTAATAGAGATCTAATAGATGTCTAGTAGAGATCTAGAGCTCTAATAGAGATCTAGCAGAGATCTAGAGCTCTAACAGTGATCTAGTAGAGCTCTAATAGTGATCTAGAGCCCTAACAGTGATCTAGTAGAGATCTAGAGCTCTAACAGTGATCTAGTAGAGCTCTAATAGTGATCTAGAGCTCTAGTAGAGATCTAGAGCTCTAATAGAGATCTAGAGCTCTAATAGTGATCTCAGAGATCTAGAGATCTAATAGAGCTCTATTAGTGATCTAATAGTGATCTAATAGAGATCAAAAAGTTTCGATTTTCTCAATTTACTCCAAAACGTCAAAGACTTTAGGTGAAAATGAAGACTTTTAGCTAAACTTGTACAGGTTTCCCTTCGTTTTTCTAGACCTGGATTTCCCCGTAAGATTACGAGATTTTTATCGACTTTTATAGATAAATTGAAGCCTATGCTTGTTACTTGTTATTCAATTCCTCACTTTTACTCGTTATATTTCTTTTGTTTAGTTGCCATATTCACCTATGGATTGGCGAAATTTTTGCTCATGCTCCGCCTTGGTCAACTTCAACGAAAAACCGTTGCGATATCGGGTAAAGATTAAAATTAAATTTTAAAGTAATCCTCTAAAGTAATGCGTTTTTCTAAAAAGGCATCTATTTAAGGAAAAAGAAAAGCCCGTAGTTAGCCCGTAGCTAGCCCGTAGTTAGCCCGTAGCTAGCCCGTAGCTAGCCCGTAGCTAGCCCGTAGCTAGCCCGTAGCTAGCCCGTAGTTAAAACCATAATTTTCATTTAATTACCCAATTTTTGTATCATTTGATGAGGAATTAAAAGAAATTTCAAAAATTTCATTCAATAATACCAAAAATCTGATTGCTCGAATGGAAACGATTCGACTAACGATTCGACTACGCTAGTTTTAGAGAAAAACCTTTTAGAAAACGAGCATTACTCGAGAGGAAAAGAAACTAGTAAAGTAAAGACGGAATAGGCTAATTTTCGCCATTTTATTTCCACAACAGGGCAACACAAAAGGCCTTTTGCGTAACTCGCCATAACTTTCTTCTAAGTCGACCAATCTTTATGATTTTGGTTTCATTTTGTTCTACTTATTGAGATCTACAAAATGAAACCAAAATCATAAAGATTGGCTTATTTAGGAGAAAGTTATGGCGCAAAGCCAGTTGCTTTGACGCAAAGTAGCCACCGCCGGATTACTGTGGGTTTAACTCAACATAGCTTCCTTCTAAGTGAGCGAATCTTTATGATTTTGGTGTCATCTTGTTCTACTTATTGAGATCTACAAAATGAAACCAAAATCATAAAGATTGGTCGACTTAGAATAAAGTTATGACGAGTTGTGCAAATAAAATGGCGAAACATAGCAGCCTACCGCGTAAAGATGTTTCCTGAACACTCTAGTAAAGTAAAGTACTAGTAAAGTACTAGTAAAGTAAAGACTAGTAAAGATTCATCTGCCCTAAGCACTAAGTAAATCAAAATTTCGATTGCTTAAAGTCGAATTTCTTTCTTAAAGTCTAATTCCCCTAGGCTGTGACACCGGTTTCGGGCACTTGTTGGCGTTGCGTTTAAACTCGTTGGGTGTACCGGTGGTTGCCGGGTGTTTCTCCGAAAAGGTACGGTGAAATGAATTATTTCTCTTGCTCAAACAAAAGCTCAGGGTGAAGAAGAGTTGAAAAAAAAAGCGACACGTGCAAAGCTTCTCTACACTCATCCGCTTGATGTCACCTCAAATGAGAGCGTCGAGAAATTCGCCGATTTCACGCGGAAAGTCACTGGTGGACGGGGTGAATTGAACAATTTTGAATTTATTAGAATTTATAATCGATATTATTGAATACTTTTTATAAGTTATCTTTAAATTTCCAGAGATTTAATCTAGAGGCTTGGATTGGCTGGTTGGCTGGCATAGATTGGCTGGTTTAGATTGGCTGGCATAGATTGGCTGGTTTAGATTGGCTGGTTTAGATTGGCTGGCTTAGATTGGCTGGCTTAGATTGGCTGGCTTAGATTGGCTGGCTTAGATTGGCTAGCTTAGATTGGCTGGCTCAGATTGGCTGGCTTATGTTGGCTGGCTTAGATTGGCTGGCTTAGATTGGCTGGCTTAGATTGGCTGGCTTAGATTGGCTGGCTTAGATTGGCTGGCTTAGATTGGCTAGCTTATGTTGGCTGGCTTAGATTGGCTAGCTTAGATTCAATCTAGAGCCAGTTCTACTATATCTTTAAATCTTTAGGCCTTTGGGGAATCGTGTGCAACGCTGGGATTCTCGGGTATTCGGGTCCAGACGATTGGCTAAAAGCTGAAGACTATATGCATGTTGGTTTTAGAAAGAGAAAGAGAAAGAGAAAGCTTGAAATCAAATTCATCTCAGCTCAGCAAAAATCTTTTTTCTTTTGGTTGTAATTGATTTGTTTCAAAACTTTGCAGACAATGTCAGTGAACACATTCGGCGTAATGCGCTTTGTGCAGAAGTTGAGGAAATTCGTCAAGGTTTTTCATTTTTTGCTTTGTTAGAAGATAGAAAACCTCTTAAACCAATCACTCAAAACTCTCAGATTCAACGCGGTCGAATCGTGATCATCTCATCGATTTCCGGGCGAACACCCAGGCCGATGGTTGGACCGTATTGTGTGTCAAAGCACGCCGTCGAAGCCTACGCCGATGTGATCAGGTTGACACTACGTTGAACGACGTTGAACTAAACGTTGCTATTTTATTGAAAGCTTCAAAATAGATACTATTTACCGTACTAGAATACTAGAATTGCTCAAGCATAGGCTAAACAATTCTAATCTCTTTGCCTTTATGTTTCTTTTTTTTCTTTCAGACATGAAATGAAAGATTTCGGTGTCTCAGTTCACATCTTGGAGCCGGGTTTCTTCACCACGAACATCACTCAAACAGCCACAAATGATCTTGATAAGGTATTCCGTTTGAATAGCTAGATTTGATTTTATCAAAGAATTTCTAGGTATGGACAAGGCTCGATGATGAGACACGACATGATTTCGGAAGAGATTATTTTGATAAATGTGAGTCGAACAGAAGTTTTTCGATTACTATACTATAGAAAATCAAATCCCAGATAAACATGCAAGATTTTCGCGGCTTTCCCATTGCTCGGATGACCTGAACGCGGTTGTGGACGCATATGAGCATGCTCTTCTTTCGAGGTGATTAGAAATAGCTTACAGAGTTGGCATTGATCGGCGTAAACATCCATTCATTTAGTGTAGAATCGTGGAGATGATGAAAACCTAGTACCAAAATGCACGTCCATAAAGTTTAGCTGCATATATTTTATCCCGATTATTGAAAATCTGTTTGTTTTGATATCTATCTTACCATTAACCAACTTTTCAGATTCCCAAAGAGCCGTTATTGGGTCGGCTTGGACACGATCTTCTTCTATATTCCCCTCGCAACTTTGCCGACTTTCCTCCAAGATTGGGTGATCACTTTTCAGCGAAAAGGAAGCCCCATCCCACTCTCAATGCGAAACTGAAAAACCTATACTTTTTACTCTCCGATAAAGCTTTATACAATCAAAAAATCCCGTAAAAATAAAACAAAACCCGATAAAATAAATACAGATTTACGAAGATTCAATGCGCAAAATATATCACAGGCGAGGTAGGAAAGAATTTAACATATGACAAGTTACAGTCTAACAAACAACAAACACTATTCGAATTTTATTTTCCTCTTTATTTCTCGTTCCTCATAAATATGTTGTCGAGTGAGAAGGGAGTGTGTGAGCAAAGCGAAACCAATACCTGAACATTCATATTATTAAAATTACTGCAATTTATAAAGCCTGAAAAACTAGGGTTTATTCTATTTACAATTAAGTAGTTACAATTTACCATTTACAATTAATTTCTTAATTCTATTTACAATTAGTGATATCCAATAAGTTTAAAAAGATGCCTCTAACAGAGGCACTTATACGGATATTTATAGAAATAAACAAACCTAATCCAGAGCCAAAAATAACATCATTTACGTGATGCCTGTTGTCGGTGATTCGAGTGACGAGAACGAACAAAGTCCTTAAAAACTTTGCTTTCTTAGAAAAATTAGACATCATCTCTTCACAACTCTTCGCCTTTGCAAGTAAGTTTTGTATTTGCTTTTGCAAGTAGGTTTGTATTTGTTAAAATTTAAAAACTAACCATCCCATAACCAACAATCCCATTAAAACCGTCACACCCTCGATAAGTCTTGTGAAGCCGGCTCGAGCGACACGATAAAGGTAGAAGACCATGTAGACCGCGTAGAAAGCCGCTGCGGCAGCATGACCTGATGGAAACGATGAACGAGCATTTCGTATCCGAATTGGGTCACCCGTGCAATGAGCATCTAAAATAAATGATCAACGTGGATAAGATTTTAACCAGATTTTTAAATAGATAACTATTTTTAGAGCTCAATTGTTCAATTTGTTACAGAACTTGAAGCTTTAAATCTACAATTAATCTTACTTTTGATAGAAGATTAAAAATCAAAATTCTAAAGATTTCTTTAATAATACGTAAAAAAATCCCTGGTACAAAATTATTCTCAATCGAGCAATCGATCTTGGTCCAATCCGGTACACAAACATCAATGAAATACGGCCGCAGACGACCAAATGTGCATTTGAAAACCTGAACAGAAATAAACTAGAAGAAACCAGGTCCATCCCGTTTTAAGTTGCGTCAATACACAATGTTTTAAATGCTCAATGTCTATTACGTTTAACATTACGACTTGCATATTTCAAAAATATACCTTTTTTTAGGATGTAAACAAAACTAACCTCCATAACCGATATGCAAATGCTGAAACCGATGATGAACTTCAAATATTCAAATGTACACGATCGTACCCATTTTGGCAACAAATTGACCCCTTGAGAGAGACGAAAAAGTAGTGTTTCAGCAACACCTAAGAGAAAACGTAACGTGTTGACAAACAAATGTTGTTACTCTAGGTTTATTTTAAAAGTCTACAATGTTTAAAGGAATATTCAGCTGCTCTAAAAGCTTTTCGGCTACTTAGGAACTTTTTAAATTATTAAAGAAAGGAATTAAAAAGCTTTACTTTTACTGAGCTGCACTTAATTTAACTTACAAATGATCAGCGGTGTTGTCCCAATAATTGTAGCGATGAGTGCTCCCGGTGAGATTGTGTTCGGCCTCCATGGGTGTCGAATCGTTGCATCGTTGCAGTAGAACCCGAGCTCGACTGGATTGATGAAATATCTAAATTTTAAGTTTAACATAAATAACAAATAAGTATCATAGAAAGCTGGTTGTATCAAAAAGTTAACGTAAAGTACTGGTTAAATTAAAGTATCATAGAAAGCTGGTTGTATCAAAAAGTTAACGTAAAGTACTGGTTAAATTAAAGTATCATAGAAAGCTGATTGATAAGTTTACAGATTCATTTAAAACTTTAGATTAATCAAATTAATTTTTCACGAAGCTTATGTTTAAAATCATAACAGCTTACTAATTTATTTACATCTACAAGCTTTACGTTAAAGCTGCATGAATGAATGAAACTGCATGAATGTATGAACATAAACTTATGAATCTTGTTAATAATTTTATTTAACAAGAACAGAATCTTGCAATTGATTATGAAAAATAAAGAAACTAACCCCTTGAACGTTTTATAGACAACGTAGCCAACTATCGTTGAAATGAGGACATCAATGGCCGCGAGGAAACCACCAAGAAGAAACGTTCGTCGCCAATCGGCAGCAACCTCGTCTCGTCGGTTAAAATATCGACCGCTCAACGTCACCCGATCGAAAGGCATCACTAAAAAGAGAAAAATGTATTGAAAATTTAAAGAAAGAAAAAGAGTATAGTAAACAAGGCGTTCAAATTTCTAACAACAAAAGTTGACTGACTAAGGGGTAGGCTAGTTTCCGCAATCTTTTTTTTGCGCAACAGGGTCATTTGCGCAACTAACTTTCTTAACTAGCCATAACTTTCTTCTAAGTCGACCAATCTTTATGATTTTGGTTTCATTTTGTAGATCTCAATAAGTGCAACACGATGACACCAAAATCATAAAGATTCGCGCACTTAGAAGAAAGTTATTGGCGAGTTACGCAAACGACCCAGACAAATAACCCTGTTGCAGCCAAAAAAATTGCGGAATTATACTTTAAGCCATCGATTTCGACTATAATTAGTGCTTAGGCCGATAAATACTTTAATAGTGCTCTGTCACCCTCGTACGGTCGGGTAGTCTCAAAATTTTTTTTAGTGTAATCATTTTTTTCAAAGCGCCCAGTACTTTAAAAATTTGCGTTCTTTTGTAGATCTGATAAGTAGAACAAGATGACACCAAATTCAGGGCTATTTTTTGATACCTAAGCGCGCATTTTAGCATAAACCAGTGTCGAGAAAAACTCGTTCAAAGCTAGACTACGCAACACTCCGCACCGTCATTATGGGGGTGGGATACTATTACAGTATTTACGGTAGGTAGAGATTTTTCGGGATTTTCGCTTTTATAGCAACTCAAAATTAATAAGATATTTAGCCAAACAACAAAATAAATTCAAACACAACTTTGTTATTCAATAAATTTTTATTTAAAATCAATTTTTATATAAAGTCAATTTTTGACTTTAAACCTTTGCAGTGAGTCATTTTTGTTAGCAAAATTACAAGATCTTGTAAAATATTCCAGCGATCTCACAATGATCATTCCTCCTCCAATTCCAAACAATTTATCCTATCACTAACCAAACACTAAAACTAGCTATCACAATGGATGAAATTGAGCAAGATTTTGAGGCTTTTGGCATGATAGTGTCAAATTTTAGAACAAAAATAATAAACAATAAGAATAAACCAAGTTATGTATTTAGGCAAGAGTGACTCGTTGACCGGCTCGAAATTCGGCTGTTTGCTCTCTTCGTGGTTTTGGACGGGACTCGTTGTGCACCTCGATGACGTCATTCATTGTGATTGATGGCTCGGCATCTGAACGTTTGGGAGTTCGTTTTTAAAGTCAGTTTTGTTTCGTTTTTAAACTGAGATCACTACATTCGTGTTTACTTGGGCAAACTAATCGCTAGAATTTTTGCAAAGCTGGATTAATGAAGTCAATTTTAAAGTTATCTAGGCCTTTCCTTTGATATTTGATATAAGCTTACGAGATTATTAGAAATTTAAAGCTAAAGCTGAATGTAGAGCGCTATAAATTGTGAACCGTGTACTCTGAACTAATATTTCCTAAAACGCGTCAACTTTCGAAAGTACCGTAGTCTCCTATCAAAGAAGGTAAACTGATAATGAGGGACTATTATATAGCGCTGTTCAAAGCGCCGTTCAAGAGAGCGCTGTTCAAAAGAGCGCTGTTCAAAAGAGCGCTGTTCAAAAGAGCGCCGTTCAAAAGAGCGCCGTTCAAGAGAGCGCCGTTCAAGAGAGCGCCACTATATTTCTATTTGTCTTAATTCAGGACATTACTACTAACTCTTCGGCTTAATATGTTGCCACAAAACTGGATGTGCAAGAAGTCTGAGAAAATGGTTGAAACGGCAAGAAATCTGCAAAAAACATTGGCTCAATTAAATTCAAAATAGTTTCGCAGTTTGCTCTTCCCATTGGACAAGGAAGTTGGTTATCAGAAATGGCGCCTTAGGAAGATCGCATATTGAACATCTTAAATCTCTATCTCTATCATTTTCATTTTCATTACCAATCTCTGTCATTCATCGATTTTAAATCTTGTTATCATTTTTGTTATTCTATTAAATTGTTAAAAGAATTCATTATAAATATTTAAAATCAATACAGGAGTTTTAAAGAAAAGAACAAGAAAGAAAAGGTTAAAATTCAGTTAGTGGTTGAATTTAATAAGACTTAAGGCTTAGAGCTTGGCGAGCTTGGAGAGCTTGGCGAGCTTGGAGAGCTTGGCGAGCTTGGAGAGCTTGGCGAGCTTGGAGAGCTTGGCGAGCTTGGAGAGCTTGGCGAGCTTGGAGAGCTTGGCGAGCTTGGAGAGCTTGGCGAGCTTGGAGAGCTTGGCGAGCTTGGAGAGCTTGGCGAGCTTGGAGAGCTTGGCGAGCTTGGAGAGCTTGGCGAGCTTGGAGAGCTTGGCGAGCTTGGAGAGCTTGGCGAGCTTGGAGCTTGGCGCTCTATTGGCGGCGCTTTTTGAACAGTGCTTTTTTGAACGGCGCTCTTTTTGCAGCGCTTTTTGAACGGCACTCTTTTGGCTGAGCTCTTTTGATAGTCCCGATAATGATAATGACAACATAACAGTAGTTGCCACGTCTTAGAAACCATTTCTAAAACACTCTCTAACCCAAACACCAGTCTTACCTTTGGCTTTTCTACGGCTTGCCAAGAAATGCGCATTCAACATCCATGCATTCAAATCAGCTCCCGTCCATCCATCGCTCATCGACGAGAGTTTTGCAAGATTAAACTCTCCATCATGTTTGATCTTTTGTAGCACGATAGAGAGAATTTCTTCACGATCTTCCTCAAATTTTTTTTACTATAATAAAATCTCTGATCTCTTTGGAGCTTACTTGATTTGGCAAGCCACAAATCAACTTATGATCGAAACGGCCTGGTCTCAAAAGTGCCGGATCGATGAGATCCACACGAGACGTGCATCCAAGCACGAACACACCTAAATCTCATTCTTGGCCATATATTTGTTTACTTTGTGTACTTTGTGCTTGTGAAAGCACTCTATCTGCACTGAATTTTGCATTCTCTTCGCACTGTGCTAGCTAGGGTACGTTTCTAGCTAGGGTACATTTTGCACAAAGTACACAAATCTTTTTCGCAATCACTAACCATTCAATCCTTCAGCTCCATCAATTTCAGTCAATAATTGATTAACGACTCGATCAGTGACTCCTGTGTTGTCAGCTCCTCTCCTAGGCGCTAATGAGTCCAATTCGTCAAAGATCAAGACACAAGGAGCGCTCGATCTTGCTCTAAATTATAATAATTCTTGAACACTAAGATTTAAAGCTGAATTTGAAAGTGTATCCGTTTATTGACCAGATAAAATATGACATTGTTACTTTAGAGTCAATTTGGCAAGAGCTGGGTTGTTAATTGTAAGTTGCTACCGTAAATACTGTAATTGGACCCCACCCCCCGCGTACAGTCGCGTAGTCGCAAAAGTTTTTTAGTATTTCATTTTTTGCAAAGCACCCGTACTTTCAAAAAATGCGTCTTTGGTATCAAAAAATAGCCCTGAATTTCAGCTATTTTTTGATACCTAAGCGCGCATTGTAGCATAAACCAGTGTCGAGAAAAATGCGTCCAAAGCTAGACTACGCAACGCTCCGCACCGTCATTATGGGGGTGGGGTACTATTACAGTATTTACGGTAATTGTAAGTTGCTAGTTTTAAGCTGCTAATAGTAAGCTGTTAGTTGTAAGCTGCTAGTTATAAGCTGCTAGCTATAAGCTGCTAATAGTAAGCTGTTAGTTATAGGCTGCTAATAAATAGTAAGCTGCTAGTTGTAAGCTGCTAATAGTGAACTACTAATAGTAAGCTGCTAATAGTAAGCTGCTAATTGTAAGCTGTTAGTTGTAAGCTGCTAGTTATAAACTGCTAATAGTAAACTACTAATAGTAACCTGCTAATAGTATACTACTAATAGTAAACTACTAATAGTAAATTGCTAATTGTAAGTAATCAAGTAAAGTAACTAAATCAAAGCCTGAACAGCTAGAAATCAATATATAGCTTCGGGAAACCCGGTACCAATTTTCTCACCTCGCAAACGCATTTCTCACATTCTCTTCACTACTTCCAATGTATTTCGATAGAAGTTCAGGTCCCTAAAAAGAGCAAATTTGTTTTTTTCCCTAAATATAGCATTTTTTTGGAAGTTTTTAATACAATACCTTAATAAAAATAGTCTGAAATTTCGTGTGTGCAGCAAATGCTTTTGCAAGAATCGTTTTTCCGCAACCGGACGGTCCACACAAAAGAACCCCACGTCCCATCCGAACACCACAACGGGCAAACAAGTCTGCGTACTAAATTTCCAAAGTTTTCTACTAGTTTTCTACTAGTTTTCTACTTGTTCTTTTCACCGTTTTGTTCTTTTAAATATCCCTATTGTTTAGCTCAAACCTTTTCCTTTTTTGTTTCTATGGTAATTGAGAGTCAAAAGACGATGAAAGAGAGTATTTTCGGTACAACTTTTGATTTGAACGAGTTTTTTTTTTTCGATTTCGATTTTAGCCGATTTTAGCCGATTTTAGCCGTTTTTAGCCGATTTTAGCCGACTAAAAGATTTCTAGAGTTTTAAATTCTTGTGAAAGATACACTACTGGACAATGAAATATCATATTTGAAAAACGATCATCACTTTCGCGCGTCTGTAACTCCCTTGTCTTTACCGTATTTCTAAATATTAATATTACCATTGTGTAGCCCTTGAAAAGAGCTTTCAGAAAATGTATAACACTAATAGTTTAAACTCAAAGACAAGGGAGTTACAGACGCGCGAAAGTGACGATCGAAAAACGATCGTTTTTCAAATATGATATTTCATTGTCCAGTACGGTACGTTGTACTTTGTGCTTAAGCATATTATAGAAACATTCTTTATCTAGCAAAGGGAGAAATTGTTGCCAAGTCGTTAGTCTAAAGAATGATGAAAACTTGCCTTAGCTGGCCATAACAGCAACTCTTCCAAAGTTCTCTTTTGCTCTCTCATCCCTCCCACATCACTCAATTTCATTTCCCATTCACCAGCACTCGTTTCTGCGAGATTTCCTGATGTGATCGCTCTTGTTTCCTCCAAACTTTTCTCCACATCATCGTTGTTGGCCAACTTGTCTCCTAAAACTATGAATTAGTGTGAAATTCAAATATTTTATTCACAAACCTCTAATTATAGCCTGAATTCGAATCCTTTTCGATAATCTTTCCAATTCTCCAATCGTGAACCCTTCCGTTTTCTTCGACAATTCATCGAGAGAAGAAGAAGATTCGATGAATGAAGTAAGCACTTCAAGACGATCACTCTAAATATTTTCTTCAGTTACAAATAGACAATAAACAATAGCCAATAGCCAATAGGCCATAGATAAATAGACAAATAGAAATAGAATACAAGTATTTTCTAGACTTGTAACAAAAAACATCTATCGATCCTTTTTGCCGCTGGCAATTTAAGGTTTTTCTCAGCATCAACCCTTTACTTTTGACTATTTTAGCTATGATTCGATGCAGAAGAAAATTACGCGTCGAATGATACCAAAATTGCCTCAAAATATAATATCCATGCAAAGTTATTGGCTAAAAACCTAAACCCCCACTCCTTATGGGCGGGACTTAACCTTTTACCTTATAACTTTGCATAGATATCATATTTTGAGGCAATTTTGGTATCATTCGACGCGCAATTTTCTTCTGCATCGAATAATAGTCAAAATAGTCAAAAGTAAAGGGTTGATGGTGAGAAAAACATGAAAAACTTTCAATTGCTAACGGCAAAAAAAGGATCGACAGATATTTTTGTTGTTTTCGTAAATTCAGTGCAAGAAGCACTTTTTGTAAACCTTTTCGATATTTAGCGACGGCAATGCCAGTTTTCCATTTCACTTCATTATCTCAAAGTGATTTCAAAGCGGGCACTTTTGAGAGAGGATATAGGGCACAAAAGGAAACGCACACTTCCTGGTGCACTCAATTCTCTCCTTTTCTAACAATAAGACTATCTTATTGTTTGCAGATTATCTTTAAGATAAAGTTGTCGTTATGAAAAGAATGATGGATCGAGCTTTGGTTTGGATTTGCTTCGCTTTGGATTTGCTTTGCTTTGGATTTGCTTCGCTTTGGATTTGCTTTGCTTTGGTTTTGCTTTGCTTTGTCAGAATCTATCAAGCACAAAGCAAATATCAAAATATCGTTTCTATCAAGCAAAAAAACAAATACCAAAATGATTTTAGCATCAGAATTATTGAGAATAATCAAATATTATTGAAAATAATCAAATTACCATCAGAATTCGCATAGCTTTAAGCCTTAACAATATCCAGAATTTAACTTTTAGACAAATCAGTATAGACAGACAAGAAAAATCAGTATATCACCGTTTTTTATCGCTTTATTCAATGCCAAAATGAATGGATTTTATTTTATTGGATTTTCTTGTCTCCATGCCATTCTTTTTCTCTAATTCTAAACGCATCCTTTAGCTGGCTCAATTTTGAATGAAAAAAAAGAAGAGAAGCAAAGAGAAGAGAAAAAAGAGATGGGAGGGAAACCTGTTCACTCTCCCCTCACAAAAACCCTTCTTGGATCCGATCCACAATTGAGAAATCCCGTAATTGCTCGTTGCCTTCAATTCTTCGGCAGACAGTTCTTTCTTATTTTTAAAATTGCCATTGAATACAAAGACAATTTTTCGTAATTCATTGTTGCTCAATTATTTATGGTCGAAGCATTAAAGCATTACGAAGCATGCTCAAACGAAGCAACATTACAACCAACAAACCTACAACCATTACAACCAACAAACCTACAACTATTACAACCAACAAGCCTACAACTGTTACAACCAACAAACCTACAACTATTGCAACCAAAAACCTACAGCTATTACAACCAACAAACCTACAATTATTACAACCAACAAACCTACAACTATTACAACCACAAACCTACAAACAATTACACCCAACAACCTACAACTATTACAACCACAAACCTACAAACAATTACACCCAACAACCTACAACTATTACAACCAACAAACCCTTTTTTTCTTTGTAAAATGCTTCTTTTCTCATTCATTTTCTTCAGTTTACCAGTTCTGTTCAGTTCTGTTCAATTCTGTTCAATTCAAAACCCCAAAATCCAATTTTCCAATCAATTTTCTGTTGGCTGAACGATTGACGAACTTAGAGGTACTTGAACTTGTTGCTCTTCGATAAAATGGGTGAAAAGAATCGAGAAAAGGAGCGCGAAATGGCTATTGGCAAGGAAAACTCAGTTCTTTAATAGTTTTTCTTTCTTACGGATTCGGGATTGACTATAACTTGGATCTGAGACTCTCATCAGCTTTTGATATTTGCAAACTCAGCAACTAACCTTCCTCAACTGTAGCTAACTTTCTGGTTTTCAAAACGAAACCATTATCAAAGCTTACAAACAAAGCCTGATCAAATAAGTGTAAATGTTTTGTTGATATGTATGTCAAAAAAAAATGGCAAATACAGAACAGAACCCAGATTGGCATATTGAAACGATGAAAGAGGCTGACTATGAGAGTGAATCTCTCACAGCCGCTCTTCCTTTCGCTGTACAGGGTTTCTCCCTTTGCCCAAAACGGGGTCATTCCCCTTTTCTCTATTCTTTTCATTCCTCTTTTCCTATTTCATTCTTCTTTTCACAACTTTATCCACTAGATCAACGGATTTTCACTAGTTTTTTAGGCATTACATTGAACCAAATTCTTTCAGAAAGCTAGCTTGACCTGAATTTTGTTAAATTGAATATGCACAGGCTGAAAAGCTTAATAAGTTTCATGTAGTTGAGGATAAAGTTGCTTTTGTAGTTCTACATAGTTCTATGTTGTTCTATATTGTTCTATATTGTTCTATGTAGTTCTATGTTGTTCTGGGTAGTTCTATGTGGCTCTATATGCGGCTCTATGTGGCTCTATGTTGCTCTATGTAACTCTATATAGCTCTATGTAGTTATATGTAGTTCTATATAGTTCTGTAGAATTATATAGAGTTCTATATTGTTCTATATTGTTCTATATTGTTCTATTTTTTTATTTTTTTTTTTTTTTTATGTAGTTCTATGTGGCTCTATGCAACTCTATATAGTTCTATATAGTTCTATATAGTTCTATATAGTTCTATATAGTTCTATATAGTTCTATATAGTTCTATATAGTTCTATGTAGTTCTATATAGTTCTATGTTGCTCTATGCAACTCTATATAGTTCTATATTGTTCTATATTGTTCTAAATAGTTTTATATGGCTCTATATGGTTCTATATAGTTCTATATAGTTCTATATAGTTCTATATAGTTCTATATAGTTCTATACAGTTCTATGTAGCTCTATAAAAGCTATATCGTAAGCTTTCAAACAATTTCCTTTACAACAAGCTTCTTTACAACAATTGTCTTAAGTTTCCTCATTCCAACAGTGTTTTTCCATCTTCTTGCCTAGATTTATTCAAAGATCTAGATTTTCTATTTTAATTTTATTCAAAGCATTCAACTCTCCTTACTTTTAAGCTCAAAAACTCTCCTTCAGATGACCAAATCTTCTCCAACTCCTCACGGTCAACCACTCACAAAAGATGCTAAACATTTGGTGTCTGAAGTTCGACTAAAACTCTCGCAACCCATTCATCCAAAGGTTTCCCCAACAAATATCCACAAATAATCGATTTTTAGTTTGACACCGATTTCAACGTTTATCGCTTCATACTAGCAGCGGAAAGACATCACAAAAAAGAGAAAGAAATCATCGAAACAGCCTCAAAAGCTCTCAACAATCATCTGCGATTTAGGAAAGCGCTGGACTTGGTGAGTTGTCGAGCTGGACTTTCAGCGTTTTAAATTGTGAACACACATTTTCTGGTGCACTCAATTCTTCATTTTTTTTAAACCTTTATTTTCATCAAGTTGTACTAAAGAAGAGTATGCCAGAAGAGATGTGGTTTTTTTTATTTTGAACACAAATTACGCTCTAAGAACTTAACGATCACAGGCCTTTATAACAAGCTAGTAAATTGTCCGAACGACCTAAAGCTGCTGTTAAAGCTGCTAAAAATCTATAGCTTTATAGCCTATTTTCTCCAACCTTTCCCCTACTAGGAAAGCTCTTTTTTTGAGTTCAAAGCCTCATTCGAGGAAAGCACAGCGAAAAACACGGGAAATCTATCTAGGACACCGAGGAGATCGTATCGTTTGACGAGAATCCGATCTTTGTGAAGAGATTGATGCCAAAAGGGGAAATCCAGTCATTGACCGATCAACACAATCGACTGCTTTGGTATATCGACTACGCGTCGATTACGGTTGAGGTGAGTAAGAAAAAAAGTGAAGGAATTCGCAAGAAAAACTAGATTTTCGGAAAAAGTAGCTAACAAGGAAAGGTCAGGAGCTGGTGAAATGCTATGCGATCTATACCATTCAACGCAGAATATTATGCTGATTTCGACTCTGTCTTCCGTTTTTGCTAAATGACAATCTGCCAAGAGTTATAAGCGTTTAAAGTTTTGTTAGGACGCTAAAAATGTGGTCATTTGGGTCTCAGCGGCCTTCCTTGCGGTTATTTGAGTCTTAGCGGCCTCCTTGCAGACCCGTTGCACTGCAGCCGTGGCCAAGTGGTACAGCCTTCGTTTCCAGAGGTCTTAGCCCTCACAAGTTCGATCCCAGCTTTGGATCTTTCGGGGTCGAACTTGTGAGGTCTCGCTCTGGAAACGGACGCTGTACCACTCGGCCACGGCTGCAGCGAGTCAGGTCTGAGGCCGCTAAGACTCAAATGACCGCAAGGAAGGCTGCTAAGACCCAAATGACGAGAGAGTCCTAACAAAACTTTAGACGCTTATAACTCTTGGCAAATTGTCATTTAGCAAAAACAGAATACATATTCGGAATCAGCACAAAATTCTGCATCGAATGGTATAGGTTGCATAGCATTTGGCTCAGCCAGTTGTCCTTCCCTTGTAAGTTAGATTTAAGCTCTGGTATGGAAGTAAGATCAGAGTTCAAGTTTCCTAAAACAACTATTCCTAAAAGTATCGAAGCTCGTTCTCAAAAGATTTGCCAAATCTTAGACTAAAAATCATTTCCCATAAATGAATCAACTTTGTTCAGTCAATCGCCCACACAATCCCCTCAACATTCACCTGTAAATGTCAATTCTGGCAATTCGAGCAAATGCTGAGACGAGTGATGGAGCATGTAAGAGAAAAGGATAGGAAAATTTTAAAAAAACCTATACTTTAGGAAGAAAAGACTGGGAAATTCAGCTCTCTTCGTCATATCATTGATTTGGATGGATATGATTTGAATCCATTCACGATGCTCTTTTTGAGTAGCGGAGCAATGGCTTATTACACGCAACTCTTTCACTTTGAGCACTACCCAGAATTGGTGAGTGGAGGGACAAGCTAAAAATGTTGACTTGTGAAAGACTATAAAAGGAAACTGAAGGGCCTAAGCGGAAGCATCAACTGGCTGAGCCTTACAGATACTGTAAGGCTCAGCTTGACTCAGCCAGTTGATCTTCCCTTTTAAGTCAAGAGTGACAACTCTAACAGCTTAGACTTCTAGCTACACAACTTTCCTGTTTCCAATGACTTTCCAATGACGAATAGTATGACGTCAAAATGACCAATGGTTTTAATGATATGCTTTTTAGGTGTCTCCTTGTGAAACAGTGAATATCCCCGGATGGGTTCACATGCCATACAAATTGATTCGAGGAATGATGCCCGCTGGGTTCACTGATCGTTTCAAACTCTATGACAAGAAATTCCTCGACATATTGAAAGAAGAGATTGATGTGAAGAATATCCCGGTGACACTTGGAGGAGAGAACAAGGTGGATGGGAAATTCTTTATCCAGCTTTTACTTGTACTGTGCCAACATAAACGTACTCTTGCTGGCGTACTTTTTACTTCTTAAATTCTACAACTTACTATAAGATTTACTATAGGAAGTAGACATGGACACTATAAACTATAAAAATGACGATCCCGCACACTACAAACGCTTCTAAACTGCTTCAAATCTGTCGGATTGACATAGCTCAAAAAATAGAGAATCTCAAGAGCTTTCAAAGTCGGAATTTAAATATTCACCACCAGAGTCCGTATGCTCGGTTCCCAGAAAATTCCCTCAGGAAACTGACAGAGTATTCCCGAGGAACGTTCTTTTCTCTGCAATTCCCGCAAATCTTCCACAGAAATCTTCTGGCTAATCTTTTCGGAATTTTTCAAGCTCCGCAGAAATACTTTGCACGATCTCAGAACATCGTAATTCAGGATATCCGCTGCGTGCCCGCTATCAAAGTCCCAGAAGAAAAATACTGGCAACCAACCGACAATGATATCCTCGCCGTACTCGAGAGTTTCCCCGTGCCAGCAAGGAGAGCACGTCACTTTATCATTGAGGCAAAAGAAGGAGAGACATTGTCGTGGTATTTTCGAACCGATGGCGATCTGTATTTTGGGGTTTTCTATCAGGTTGGTGAAGACAAAGATTGCTCAAAGGAAAATTTAGCCAAGCGATGAGGCAAAGCAGGAGAAAGATTTGGATTCGGATTCGATGGAATTGGTGTATCCTTTTGTGAAAGTTGCGGCTAAGCTTGTTCACGAGAGGGACACGATGAAATGTTTGAAGAGTGGGAGGTGAGCTTTTGAATGATTAAAGTCTAAACCGGGCCCGGAAATCAAAAGCCAGGGTCAGGCTTGATTTCTGGCAAGCTCAAGGACTTTTTGTGCTTGGCTCAAGGCTCAAGGACTTTGTGGTCCAAATTTGCAGCAAAGCCAAGCCAGATCTGTCTGTCCTGTCCCAGAACAATTGTCTTTGAACTAATCCTGGCTTTCTTTCTGATGTTTCGTATCTCGACATCAGTACATTTGTTTCTATGCGCTTGGGTTTTAAATTAAAGTAGAGAGAATGGGTGATTTTTTTGAGACATATTCTTAGCATTAACCAGCGCTTAGAAAAAAATGATTGAAAAGTGGCAAAAAAACGACGATTTTCAGCCGATTTTTTTCATCATTTCTTCTAAGCGCTGGTTACTGCTAAATATATTTATTATATCTCAAAAAAACACCCATCCTCTCTACTTTAATTTGATCCCTAAGCGTTCAGAAACAAATATACTGGTGTCAAGATGTGAGCGTTTGTTTGAGAGTAAACTTCGACTACGCGACGCGACGATAGGGGAGTTGATTTAATTCGTATCTGTTTTAATAATGCGCCATTTGCGAAGAAGTTTCTTTGTACCGATACCTTTTGCAAATTCCGTCCACAAAGTTGTGTCATCAAATGTAAAGAATATGAAAAAAAAACACCGAAATTGATTGAAAAATGACAAATAAAAGCCGATTTTTAGCCAATTTTTTTCATTTTTTCATCAATTTGGTGTTTTTTCGTATTCTTTACATTCGATGACACAACTTTGTAGACGAAATTTGCAGAAGGTATCGATACAAAGAAACTTCTTTGCAAATGGCACATTATTAAATCAGATCTGAATTAAATCAACTATCGTCGAGTGGCGTAGTCGAAGAAATAAAATAAAGAAAAAAAGAAATGAAAAAATGAAAAAGAATGAAATTGCACGCTTTCTGCCTGCAAATTGGGAGGGATACGGTAGTTTTACCACTCTTTAAACCCACGAAAGTGATTAAAAATTGAAATCGATTTAGATACTATGCCCTATTCTGCAATCGTCACGCGTGGATCTCGAAGAAAACAGCTGATTTGATTGTGACGGTGACAAATGACGATGGAGAGAGACGAAGGATACACGCTGATGGGACACACAGTAAATGCTCGCTTCTTATATAGAGAATCAATGTGATACCGTATATTTTTTTAATGATTCGGTGCTTTTCATATAAAGTTTTTTTGCTTTTAAATCTAAAAAAACCAACCAGTGAAAGTTTCGGGATTTCGACGGTGTACCCAAAGAAACGTTGTCCACCATCACCCAACAAAATCGGATGAATCGAGTGAAGGGAACGAGCCGAGCAAACGATTTGCACCAATTTTCGAGGTTTCAAGAGATCACGAAGCACTGGAAAGTGATGGATTACGCAAATTTTGCATAATGCATATGTTTGCATAATCTTTTCTTCAATTTAAGAAATTTTATTTTAAAATCTACTCTCGTTCAAGCTAAGATTTATCTACTTAACTTGATTTTAAATTTCTAAACTCAACCAAATACTATTGACTATTTCAACCGGGCTATAAAGTAAAGTAAGGAATGGTGAAAAGTTCTTTCATTCAAAAAAGCTCTTTGAAAAGATCTTTGACATAAGTGGTATGATTTTTTTGAAAATTGAACTTTCTTTCTTGGTGACAGACTTTTTGTTGACTGTTCTTTAATTGTTTTTGATTGATATTGAAAATAGTTTGTAATACTGTAGCTGTACTGTAAAGAGCACTGTAATCTACTATATACAAAAAAAAAAATAAAAAGTCCGTCCGTCCTTCCGTCACACCTACGCGACAATACAAATTACGTTAACGTAAAATTACAACGAAGTGAGCTAGAAAGCTGAAAAGTTGTACTCGGGGGTTTTCGGGGGCGAAGAATCCGAAGCTACAAACAGATTTGCGCCCTCAGTACGGATATTCTGCCGCTAGGTAGAATATCCGTGAAGCCATGTAACGGACGCCCAGCGCAGCTGGTAGCCTTAAAAATGGTATTTGTCTGTTTTTCAAAACAGGAAAGAAATTTGTCGGAGGCGGGACTCGAACCCACCGAAAGAACGGCCGTCGGTTCTTGTAGTCCGGCACACGATCCCCTAGGCCACCTCTTATTAGCAAGGAGGTTGGCGAAAATGGTCAAAATTTTAAATGCCTTTTTCGTCAGGATTTTAATTTGAGCAAAAACTGAATAGATATTTGGTATGCTGATATTCGTTTGCACTCCGAACTTCTCCTGAAACGAGTCCAGTTTGGATCCTTCCCTTGTGAGCTATTCGGTATCTTCTTGCGAGACGAGAATGAGGAAAAAAAAATACAAGGAGGAAGAGAAAGGAGGAGGAGAAAGGAGGAAGACAAGGAAGAAGAGAAGGAAGAGCAGAAGCTAGGCCAGGTCTAGGACTCTATTCAAAGGTACGGGAAACTTTATGGATCAAGCTAGACCAAAAGCCAAGCAAAGCAAGGCTGGTCCTGAAAGGCTGACCCTTTGGAACAACCCTTGGAAACAATTTCGGTCTAAAGTAACCCAACTGGACATCAGATATAACCGGATTTTACTTTCCTTATGTTCAATAAACAAACTGCAAACAAAAGAAACAAACTCACTTGCAAAGATCCTTTCCAATTGAACCATTCTGTGCTCCTCATCTTTATTCGCCGGTGCAATGAGATCAATTCCATCAAGAATGATCACCGATGGACTTCTCACAATTCCCAAATTCAACTCGATCAACAATTGCTTTCTAATCTTCTCAGCTTGTTTGCCTGGAAAAAAAAGAGATTAAATTTTGATCTTTTTCAAGCTCACCCTTCCACATCGAGCAATCAATCCTCCGACAAAAAATCACTTTTTCTGATTTGGCCAAACTTTTTGCGATTTCTTGTAGTAGTGCCGTTTTTCCAGTCCCCCGATCACCAAGAAGTAATGAATGATTATTTGAAGTGTCATTCCGTAAATCCCAAGAAAAATCAATCCATTTCGTCAATCGATTCAACAAATCGTCTTGAAATCTGAAAAAGTAAACTTTAATTTTAAAAGTTAAGACTTTACTTGAAATCTTTCAGCTTTTATTGGTGCCTCAAAGCCATAATTCAACAATTGTTCTTCTTGTGGTAAACTTGTTTCCATAAAAGTTTTCTGAATGATTTCTTTAATAAATTTAAAAAAAAAAACTAGATTACTCTGATGATTGGTCGAGTCGACTTTGACACTCGAAAACATATGTGCTTTCCATTTTGTGGATGATTCATGAGCTCTTTGAAAGGCGAACATAATTGATAAGTGAGCGGGGAACCTGGAAATGAAAGTGATTAGCCAAATAATGCTTAAAGATAAGAAAAGCAGCTATAGTATGCCTAAATGAAAAGGGATTTAAGGCTACAATTTGCTGGCTTATAAACGTTCTTTAACACTGTAAATGGCTTGTAAACGTTCTTTAACACTTTATAGTTAGATTATTTTCTCTATAAATTCTCTAGTTTTCGAGTGTCAACTCTCTAAATTTTCAGCTTTACTCAAAAACTATTAGATCGTTTTAGAAGTTCAAAATAACATTTGATAGCAAATTTTCTTGCGCATCTTTTGAAATATAAGCGATTGCAAATGGCTTATTAGGTGAAAATCTACAAAGTGTAAGGAGAGAGCACTCCCTTAAAGCGTCCCGCTAGATTCCAGGTTGAAATATTCCAGGATTCCTCCAAACCATTTTCCAATTAAAAACATTAAAACTAAAGTTGAAAGCGCATATTTTACAAAAACAAGTAATTCAAAAGACCCAAATTTGACCGAGATATAAAGATGAGAAGAAAAAAAGGACACTTTTCAAAAGTCTCCTCCTTTTTTTCTTTTCATATCTCGACTCCCTTTTACTATTTTTAATTACTTTTTTTTACAAAATATGCATATTTAATTCTAGTTTTCAACACTTTTATTTGGTATATAAGTTTTCAATAAAGATTCCAGAATAGTCAACTGTACACATAGGTTTATCACAGGGAAGTGCTCTCCTCTTTACCCTTTGTAGATTTTCACCCTAATAAGCCATTTGCAATGGCTTATACTTCAAAAGATGCGCAAGAAAATTTGCTATCAAATGGTATTTTGAACTCCTAAAACGATCTAATAGTTTTTGTGAAAGGGACTAAAAATGAAAATCCAGAGGGCGGGGATTTGAAAACTATAGAAACTATAAATCTAATAGATTCGAAGCTCAAAAATGAGATTAATTTAGAATAAACCTTTAAAAATAAACCTTGCAGTATCGTCTTGATTGTGGTCCCGTGATTGCCGAGTAGAATCGACGTGGCTTCGCTCAATTTTCGAACATCATTGTCAAGGGTTAGACTCAGCAAATCCCCGGCTTCGATCAATCGATCAGACGTCTAAATTTTCAAAGTTAAGAAAAAAAATTTCTCAACTCACCTCATCATTCACACAAATCTCCACTTCTTTCAGTGTAACAAGCCGATTTTTTTCTAATGGCGAAACCTTGAGAATCTCGTATTCGGATAAGGGAGATACTGAAGAAACCAGGCAATGACCGGGATATTTCTGAAAATAAGTTGAATTATGATTTCCCATTTGTTCATTATGATTTGTTTACCTTTAGCAATATTTTCAGCTTCTCGATTTTCTCATCGTGTTGACTCCCATGTGAGATGAGATGAAAAATGGCAAAAACTCGCGACAACTTGGGCGCATCGTTTTGATTGAGACGTACAAAGTGCTGCCATATGGTTGGGTTTTGTCTGAAAATGATAGAAAAGATTTTAACGATATAGCTAAAGTACTTAAACTCTTGAAAGCCAATAGCTTTTAGTTTATTAGCATATCTTAGCAAACTTATATAGCAATCAAGACCAGAGTCTGGTTAGCTAGATCGGACTTTTTCAAGTTCTAAAGTTCTACGACTCTAATGTTCTACGACTCTAAAGTTCTACAACAGTTTTACCTGTATGCATGGCATAAACATCATTTATATGCAAACATTGATCCAATCCTTTGTGCAATTCTCTTGGTAGAACTCTTAAATGAGTCGGTGGAAGAATGTTATCGAAATATTCTTCATTCACGGCCGAGGTGCTTGCTTGATTCAAATCGGTGAACAGCTGGAATGGGACATTGAAAGTAGCAAAGCCTTGTGTTCAAAAATGAAAACACGCGCTTTCTCGTGCACTGAATTAAATCATTAAATGAAAGAATTCCATCAAAAAGGGTTTGTTTCTATTTCTGTGCGCAAAATAGCACACGAGAGAACAAATCTAAAGCTTGTCTCAAATTTTGCATTTAAACGCTGCAGAAATACAATAAGGAAGTGTCAATATTAAATTTCAAACCCACCTTGCTAAATTTCTCTTCACTATTCCGTTTCTCTTCTCGATTTGACTGCTTCAAAAATCCATTAGTGACTGGCGCGACGTGGAGTTCGGTGTGAGCCGTTAATAGCACCGGTTTCTCCGTTTCTGGATGGATTTTCACTAAAAATCTTTGAATAATGGTGACAATTTAGCTATAAAATATCGAATATACACTGATTAGAAAAGTGATAAACTTAAGAAGAAAATTTGACCACATTGAAAGAACAACAATCTCTACTCACTTGCGACCTTTTTCTGAGAAAATCCCGGGTTAGCGCTTTAAAGTGTGGTAAAACTACCGTGCCCCTCCTACTTTGCGTGGAATTTAATTTTTTTCATTCTTGTTCATTTCATTTTATTCTTGTGTTTTTTTCAACTTTTCAACGTTTAAAAGTGGCAAAAACAAAGCTTCCGCCATCGAAAATGATAAAAATCACTTAACTTAACATTAGTTGGCATCAAACTCGTGGAGCAGATCGTCGGGAAGCAAGTGGGTCTAAAAAACTCTACAAACAAAGCTTCCGCCAGAGAAAATGCTGTTAAAAACGTAACTTAGCTTTATCCTCTTTGTTTCCTGCAAAAAACAAATACGAGCACATCAGAAAAACGCAAAAAGAATAAAATGAAATGAACAAGAATTAAAAAAATGAAATTTCGCGCAAATTAGGAGGGGTACGGTAGTTTTACCACGCTTTAAAGCACCAACCCAGGATTTTCTCGGAAAAAGGTTGAAAGTGATAAAAGCTGAAATCGATCACAATCTCTCTACTCACCCCTAACCTATAAACAATAGTTTAGGGAGTTGTTCTATAAACAACTAGATTTCCCCAGAAAAGGTCTAAAACGATAAATTTGTATATAAGAATGGTAAATTTACCAATTTTCAGTAAAACCGGGCGTCCAGCATTTGAAAAAAATGGAACAATCATTCCGGAAGCAACGAGACGACATTGATCAAGAAAAGAGCTCTCGATCTCGTAGACATTCGATTCCTGAATTATTTTAGAGTAAACATGACTAACGAGACCACGTTAAGGCTCTTAACGAGAGTTAATGAGACGAGAACTCGTTAAGCTAACGAAATACCGAGATAATGGGGAGCTGGTCAAAACAGTGCCGAGTACAAACAGCGCCGGCTAAAATAATCCGTTTACGGTTAATTTTATTTGTGTTTCTTATTTTCATTGGATGTAGAAAATAATTAGTTATCCGCTGAATTTTTTAGAGCCGTTTAGAACAAATCTAGAATGGGAAAGTGCAAACCAAAAACGAAAAAGGGCTCAAAAAGAGGTTAATTGAGCTTTTCTCGACACCAATTCTGTTTCAAGTGATCCCAAAGTATGCAAAATGTAGATAATTTTATTGTGCATTCAATAAGAATAAGAAACGCATAGAAATTTAACCGCCGAGGAGCTATTTTTGCCCTGACACTGTTTGTACACGGCGCTGTTTTGAGCAGCCACCTCAAAGCCACCTCAAATGATAAATTCGAGTTATAAATTCAAATTTTGCCATACTTTGTCACGCAGTGCATCATTTTTTTAATAGAATTTTGTCTATAAACTTACTATAACTTGAAAATCCCCTTCGGACAATGGGGACACTTCAACAGCGTCACACGAGGTCGGCTCGACAAATTCGATCAAAGCCTAGATTTTGGAAATTTTCTAGGCATAATTTTTTTATTGTTTTCTAGTAAATTATTGTGTTTTTATAGTTTACTATGTCAAATATCAGCTAAATTAAACTTTACGCTCAAAACAAAGAGTCGATTTTTTCAAAAAGGTCAAAACAAAGAGTCGATTTTTTTTGGCTTAAAAATTTTTCCCCTCATTATATTTGTGGGGTTTTTTTGTGCATAACTAGGCATAGTGAAGCATAAAAAAAACTTGAATTTTTTCCCAATGTATTTTGGCTCTTGAAGGGTAAAGTTCCAATTTTAAGCCCAGGCTAAAATATCTTTAGAGCAGTGAAGTATCTAGAGAGTCTTGGAAGTCTTTTTTGGGTCTATCTTGATGTTTGCGGATTGTTATCGTATAAGCGACCGTCTATTTTGATGCTCGTCAGATAGAGGGAAACAGTTAGAAATGCAGAGGTCAGTCAAGAGAGGGCGCTACTCAGAGGCCAGGTTAACTAGAGAAGCCTCAGCTCACAAATTACCCTCAATTTGTGCCTTAACTTATTTTTGATTTTTAAAACTTTTATTATATATTACTCTATTTTCGTTAATCGTGATCCTGTGTCAAATTGCTAAACCGAAATTTTCTGAGAACCGCTCGTATATCTCGCAGACACTTATCGAACCCGAATGTGGGGTCGAAAAAAAAAATGTAGCTGACGATGAGATCTTGCCCTGGGGGGAGTTTGAGTGTTGAAATGATTACAAACGGACTTCAGATTCGGAATCCAGCGAATTTTTTGCTACCCTTAAAATAAGAGTTTTTCAGCCTCCTAGTTCAATTTTCCCCGAATAAAAGCCTCAGACAGACGGACAGAAAAACGGCTTTATATATATTGAAAACTCTCTTCATTATCCGTAAGCCCAGCGAACTCCGCGGGCTTCGCGTTGATCAGAACGTGCTGAAACCTCCTGATCGTCATTCAATTGTACATACAATTTTCGATTCGCATCTTTTCACGATCAGATCAAAGCGAATCTCGATTATCGTAGCTCTGAGGTTGTAATTAATATTTGCACTTTAAAATCAATCATTTTCAATGATACCGGCGGATTTTTATAGTTGAGATCTCGTTAAGTGTGCTCGTCAGTTCGTGTGGGCGAAACAATTCAGCCAATTGTGCTCTTTGACAAAACTTACGGGAAACTGCTGATTTCATTCGAGAGATCACTGAAAAATTAGTTATGAAGAAAAAGAATTTTTTGAAAATTTTTTTTTTTTGAAAAATTCAAATAAAGGTTCAAATTAAGTTTAAAGTAAGATTTTTAAAATGATGAAATTCAAAACAAACTTTGTGAAAAGTTGTAGAAAAGGAAAATCTCCATTTAAGCTCATTTCTTTTCTTTCTTTTCTTTCTTATTTCATTTTTCGTTTTCAGATTGAAGTTTTCAAATAGATTTATTTTTAAAAAAAGCATTTGATTATAAAATTTCTTCCATTGCTCATAAAATAAAAGTCTGATTTATTTTAAAAATTTGAAAACAAATAGATTCCCAGTATGGAAAAAGGTTGATCAATCTCATTTTTTTTTGTTATCTCATAACTGTAGTTTGTATTGTCTATCTGAATTGTCAACCTTGTGTGGTTTATTTTGCACTATGCGAAAATAAATAGCCCGTAACGGAAGAATGTTGAGTAGTGTGGGTGTACTGCAAAAATTTCATTTCATTAAAAAATGGGAAACCATGTAAAAGTGCTCAAAAAGAGAAAAATCTCGATCGATCGTCTTTTTTATGATCGTTTTCGTTGCAGATTTGGTGGAGAAAGGGAAATGTGAAAAAAGCAAGGTTATCTTTGGAAATCTTTGGAAATCTTTGGAAATCTTTGACTACTTTTTCTATAATAACTGAGTTAGACTGGGATTTTGAGGAGTAGCCTACTTTTTACTTGTAAATGCGCACTTTTTAGGTGTACCAACAAGGGAAATTTAAATGAATGTGCTGGCCAAATCACATGAGCCATCGACAAACGCTAAATTTTCTGCTGATCATTCTGCTTTTTTTTTCTACGAAGCACTCTGTTAAAAGTTATACGCATTTAAAGTTTTGTTTCAAAAATCAAACCGCGACATTAGAACCCTTTCTTCCGCCGGCCCGGCAGTTGCAGAGGTGGCCATGTGGTAGTGATTTGGGACGTAAGACGAGGGTTTCCCGGATCGAGTCCGCTAGCCACTTTTTACTTTTTTGTAAGTGAAGTTAAATACCGTATTTCTTCGAATGAAGACCGGGTAAAGAGTATGATCGCGTACTCCTGCGTAGCAGCCTTTTCATTTTCTTTTCTGCATAAAAGCTTTCCATTAAGTGCTATCAGAGCTGGAAAATGGCTCAAAATCTGTTAAAGCTCATGTGGTATTTTTGAGTCACTTTTCCCAGCCTCTTATAATTAACTTTCTGAAAACAAAACTGCTACGAGTACGATCTGCAATCTGAGCTCTGATACTCATCAGACTTTAGTGCTGGAGTTCAAAACTGTTTCTGAAGGATTTTAAGAGCAAATGCCTTGACTTTAATGCTGATCTTTTTTATCTTTTTTTCATCTAAATCTTGATTGTAATCTTATAACTCTTGTTAACTATTATTTTCTTTCAAATTTGTCATTATCTACAGAAAATCTAGAAAATCTAGAAAAAATGATCGATGAATTGGAGCCGAAGAAGGGATAAAATTTGATGAATCGATATCACTAGAACGTTTGGAAGGGGGAATCTTAACATTCGGTGCGACGAAAAATGATTGATTCAACTGAAAATGGTATACAACTTTAGAGAAATTGAAAAAAAATACTTTCACTTCCCGAAGGCTTGAAGGCGGAAAATTGAATATCATCGTTTATTTTCGAAGAAAAACTTGCAAAAATGGGGCAGCCACGTTTTCTCCGCTTTTTCCGTCGCAGTGCGTAGCTGCCCAATTCGCGTTGAGTTTTTCTTTGGAAATAAGATATTCGAGGAACTTCCCTTTCCACTCACAGGCTTGTTCTGTTGACATGACCAGAGCCAGATGCTTGAGCCAGATTAAAACTACAAAATGGGGGGAACACCAATGGACTATGAACTTTTTGATAAACAACATAAAGCTTTTTTATCAGCGACCATAAATTGCCAAAGTACACACCAATTTCTCGTCTAGGTTTATCGCCGGAAATTCAGCTCGATTGTCGACAACAAATTTTGGAGTGAGAGAGAAATGTGAACGAGAGCGGATCACGCTTCCACCCGAAGCATCCAGTCAAATTTTGCTCGGAAAAGGTTTGTCGGATACTGTTGATTTGTCCAGAAGTGCTAGGCTGAACGACAGAAACGCGAGACATACCGTAAATACTCTAATAGAACGCCATCTCCTTAGCCTGATCGCGTGATCTAACTTCTTTTCAGAAAATCATTTCTTTCTTAGCTTCTAGATTTTTTCCAACTATACTTTTGGTACCAAAAAATACTAGATTTCAATGGCTATCATTTGTGACTCATGCGCACACTGCTTAGCATAAAGGGGCGCGGAGAACAGGACGTTCAAAGTTCGACTTCACGCGACTTTACGCCCGTCATTATGGCATAAAGTCGCGTAGTCGTCTATTAGGAATATTCACAGTAGGTAATCTTTCTGGCAGAAACTTTTCCAACTTTTTGAGGGCCATGAAGATTGCGATTATCAACATCTTTACCACTATACTTGCAAAAATAGCACTGATCCGTATGGAGAAAATCTTTTTGCGCACCTCAAAATCAAAGAAGAGGACATGTTGGATGATTGGTCGGATGAAAAATACGAGATTGACGGCTCTTGAAGTACAACTACGAGAATTTGAGGGTCCAGGAGAAACATATGCAACAATTATCGATTCGTGTTTTTTTACACAGTTGTGAGTACGAGACACCACCGGAGGGCTGTAGAGCCACAGAAAGCTCTCCATCAAAATGTCTGGCTTTTCATGGAAAAATTAGGGCACGCACGATCACAATCAATTTGAAAGAAGCCGGTGTTGAGGTATCACGGTTGCTTTTATCACAGCGACTATTAAAGAACGTTACAGAGTTGGATGATGGATTATATTCGACCTCAAATTTTCCTTAGAAGAAAAGATCGCCCCGAGGTCTGATTACCCGGCTGGATATTCGTCAATGATTATGGTTTTGGATTTGATCTTGTGCAATTTTTGATGTTAAATTGTTAAAGGTGTAATTGCATTTTAAATATACTTTTAGATGTGCCGAGAAAACGAGTTTTGGTACGATTTAGATACTGATCTTGGAACACGTGGCACCGAGATTCAGCAACAAATGGAACAAAGTTTGAGAATAATTCTTGGTAAAGGAGAAAACAAAGCAACTACTTTTTTGCCCGCTGGGATAAGAAACGCACCTTTTCTGGTGTAATTCATCCCACTTCTTTGCAGCAACATTCTAGAAATGAAGGAATGGCAGGTCGTCCAGAAAAGAACAACGTTTTGTTTTTTGAGTACAAAATACATACTTCTTCCCTAAAAACCAGTCAAATTTGCCCCATTCAGATGCCCCTTGGATGGATTTCGTTCATCGACTAGAGAAATACCCGGCAATAATGAGGACGTGAACTCATCAGAACGGAGGGAATGGAAAGGAATGTGAGTTACAAAACAGATAAAGAACTTTTACCGTCAAAAAAAAAACACAATTTAGTTGAAAGTTTAAGTCTCGTGAGCACTATTACGGAATCAAAGCCACTTGAACACAGTGATTCATCTCGATTTTCCCGAAGAACTTCATTGGTATAAAGCCAGATGGGGAATGAGGCCCAATGAGTATGCTGATAAACATTCAAATTTCAGATGGGGAATAGCTTCAGCCCATAGGAAAACGCTTTTTCCCAATGTTTTCAGAGTTTTTCCTCAAACTTTGATTTTTCGTATTTATCGAGTTGTAATAAAATTTATTTTCCAAGATTTGATCTTCCTCGCCACGTCCAGGAAATTTTAAATGCAACTTTATTGCTTTCTCAGCCAGTCCCCGAAATGACTTACTTACTTGCTTGCTTCGCATGCAAAACGTAATCAACAACATAAAATAAACCATAGCATTTGATTCATAAAGCTCATTTTTATTTTTCCTATTCATCAAGTTTCTTTGGTTCTCAAACCACATTTTCCCTCCAATTTAACATCGCGACGCTCAGCCCCACCGCCATCAAACAATTAATGTGTATTTATTAGTATCCTAGTAAAGAACAAATTTATCTCAACAAAATTAAACAACAAAAATAATTTACTTCGCCTTCCTTTTCAATACTTTGAAAAAAATCTTCTGTTCTTCAAGGAGGAAAGCTCGGATGATTCGTTCTTTAAGGGCGTTGGGCGCGGGACTCCTCCGTAAGCACGCGGGAACCAGTGAAATGACGGCGCGAAAGTCTCGAGGATTCGAATGGTCGGGCCAAAGTAATCTAAAAGAAACCATTAGTTCCATTCAAAGTAAGTGTGGTTATCAATTATTGTGGTTAAGGTTCGACTCTTCAATAACGTTATTTTAACATTCCGTAGCCCAATGGCCGCTAAGCAAAAAAAAATTTCGGCCTAAAAACCGAATTCGGCGCGCGCTAAATTTTAATATCTAAAGTTTTGGTTCTATAAAATAGACAGCTAATGTATCATTAATGATTCCCACACGCATATACTTATGGCAAAGCTTACAATAAAAAACGACTTACTCCATGGGCTTGACTCCGGTGTCGCCGCACTGCCGGGGACCTTTCCGCGTTTTTTCACATATTGGTAGACGAGTTTTTTCCTCCTGGAGTCTTCTTGACTTTCGTTTTGTTTGATGGCGTGTTGTCTTGACAGCCGTCTTCGGTACGTAAATCGTTGTGCCATTACCTGAAAAGAAACAAAATTAAATAATCATGGAAACAAGAAAAAAATAGAAAGCTAGTGCTTTAAATGTAGCAAAGATCAGACAAATTATTTGGGTGCTCTAGTAGTGGGGGGGCAAGTTTATCAATACCGGTTTTTTGCAGACTTACCACTAGTTTTTAAAACTTTTTCTGGGGTAATTAATTGAACTCTATCTATTGGAAGCATTTATAAACCATTCAGAAGAACTTTCATGCCAGTTTGAGCCACGATTGAGAGCCTTCAAAAGTGGCTCTCTTTCCACTGGGTCTAGAGGTGCAGGACCAGATTAAGCGGCTTAAAATCTCAGTAACTGCTTAAAATAGTAAGCTAGAAAACAATCACTAATGCTTAAATAAATACCAAATTAAGAATCTAAGTCATTAGAACCCCTAGAAGCAAAAATTAATTGCGCTCTGGTTCAACAGAGATAAATTTACACTGGTGCCCCCAACTACTTTAGCACCATTATTTGAGCTTACAATAAAGGCGCATCCGCTTAAAAGTCCTTTTTAGCGAGTTAGATTCGCTTTTCTCATAAGGAAAAACTTATTATTCACTGAACTATCAAATGTCAATCAATGAAATAACAATTGACACTAAACTAAAAAGCTATAACGCAATTATTGACAATCTGAGAACAAAATAATGAATGAAAAAAATTATTGACTGGCAAATTTTTGTTCGCCAAAGCATATACCGTAACCGCGACGTGATGCATTATAGAAAAAATTATGGTATAAAAATCAAATGCACAAACTTTGTTGCACACAATCACCGCGTCGCGGTGTATGTACTAAACAATGGACCCGTTACTTTCCCTCTTTTAAAAAATCTCCTCGCTGTTTCCGATAGCTTTCACTACTTGTTGACTCTAACTGATTACTCATTTCATTTCATAACCTATTTGTCATATTTGTTTTTTAGAGTACCGCCTCTGTTGAAAGGAAACGCTTCAATGGCAAACGACCCATCGACATCGGAAGAAGCGAAGACCGCTGAGGCAGCGCAAATCGATTCAAGCACTGATCCGGATAAGGCTGAAATTCCCGATTCCAAAATGGGCAACGCGGCCACCCGGTGGATTTCATCTGGATGTTGCTTGTGAAGAACGGTCAATTGCTGCCGAAAGTCTTCATCGACGAGAAGAAGACCTACTATTTTGGAAGAAGATCCAAAACAAGTTGATGTTGTTGTTGAACACACTTCGTGTTCTCGTGTCCCACGCATTGTTGATCTACCACGAAACGCTGCAACGATTCGCTTTGGTCGACTTGGGCAGCAGTCATGGGATCGTTTTATGGAAAAGTGCGGTCCGAGCCATTGAGCCGCTGTTTTTGGAGCCGGGAGCCGAGGTTTCACTTGGGCGCCTCATCGAGGAAGTTTGTGATTCGCGAAAAGATGTATTTGAAGTCAACAGGGAAAGATGATGACGAATACAAAGAGTACTCAATCAACGGATATCCAACTTGAGCAAGTTACCGAATACAATTACGGCACAGAATCGACGAATCACGGCGGTTCCGATCTCTCAAATGAGGGAGGCACGACGGAAAAAACGACCAAAGGGGCAATGTGGCTTTCATTGAGCAGGAGGATATCATAAATCCTGAAGATGTCGACCTTTCGGTCGGGCGTTTCCGCAATCTCGTCACAACGGCCATCATTTCATCCGCTTCGGCGGTGAAACGTCCGAATCAATCGTCGGGACCGGAGCCAGCACACGGAGAAAATTATTGCGACCGACAAGGGAGGCATCGAGATATCAGGCACCAATCTCGACAACGTTGAATATTACGCTGAATACAGCTCCTGATCTCGAATTGTACAAGGCGTTGCCCGAACCAATCACGGAGTCGATGACCCCAATGAAAACGCTATTCGCTTCATTGTATATCGTTGATGATAGGGAGGATAATGCACCACACAAGAAAAAATACGCCAAGGGAAGCTGGCCGGAAAGAAAACCCCAAGGAGTTTTTAGAATTCACTCTTCTGCTCATAATTTTTGCCCCAATCATATACATCTTTATTTTATGAAAAATTATTATCCTGGCTGTATGTCATTGTTGATTTTTTCGAATTTATCCATCATTATTCTTTGTGAAGTTTGACATTTATACTTATGTTCTTATGCCAAGAGCAATTCGTAATTTATTGTTGTTCGACTTCTTATTTTCTCAAAGTTTGTTAAGAAAATAAATGTTTTACATTTCAGATGAAACACTTGATGAGGATTTTCACAGGTGGACCTGAAGAGACCGAACTACGTGGACCGAACGAAATTCGACACCCAGATGCGATGTGGAGGGAAATTTTTCTTCGCTGCCATTTTGATGATCTACCTCGGATGAAGATGGTATGTCATCTTACTTACAATTAGAAACATTCAAAATTTTAAAAGAAGGAGAAAGCACGCTATGTGCAAGGGTTTGTTAATGATATTATTGATTAAAGAGTTTTGAAATTGTTACTAAATTTTATTTTTAGGTATGCAAGAAACAATTCCACATGGTGCTGACGAAGCCGCTTTTGGAAGAGGGATCGATGTGAGCTAAGAGAGGGATTGCTCTGCCTACACCTGAAGTTGTCAGATTTAGTTCACTCCAGGGTGAGTTGGTTGTTTACCTAATCATTCAATATAAATTTGCTAATCTATTAAAAGCTGAAGATGTTGATACTGTAAGATCTATCAGCAAACGATTATTTTGTACTTTCTTTTGGAATAGCGAATTCGGCCACGAATACTTGTATCACTATTTACTTCTAAAAGGAAACGTCAACCCCTATGGACCGAACATCGTCAAAGATTTACCGCTGGAACGGGAAAGAGTACATGCGAAGAATATGCTGCGAATTTATCTTGGATTACGGCTTGTCCAATCTCAGGGATTAGTTTTTATTAATGATTTGCTTTTTACTTTACTAAAACGAGATGTAAGTTTGTACGTTTCATGCTGGTTTTAATTGCTTTTTTCCCTAGTTACAAAATATGTACTTTTTAGGTGTACTTATGAGGAACCGCCAGTTGGATTATCAAGCAACTGTCGAGTGCCCGAACAAATGAATGGCTGCTTCGTATTATAATTGGGGATATCGTCAAATCGTAATCAATTTAGAAAAGTGCGGTGTTGAGGTTAGTTTTAGTGTATTAAAATGAACTAAACAGTTTAATTTAGCCGTGGATCCTCGACTTTTTACGCGTCCGACTGTTATCGTTGAAGAAAAACATGCGCCTCGCCATGATTGTGGGACAATCTACAAATTGTCCATTGAGGTTGTTTGTGTTTTGGAATTAGTTACGAGTAAATCAATGTTTTTAGCAAATTAGTGGCATAAGATTCTGTTCTTATTATTGGTTTGTGTATAGATACTGGGGGCTGAAGATGTACCGAGTCATTCCAGTCACATGGAGAAGAATTCGTCCAGATTATGAACTTTTAAATCAATCTCGAGGAACAATGGTTTGAAAAAGCTATGCACTTAATGGGCCAGTAAAAACTTTAATCGTTATGTTTTCCATTTAAATGTTTTAGTGCAACCTTGGGTTCTAAAGTCATTGCAAACGGTTTTATCCCTGTGGGATGACGAAAGCTTTAATTTTATTACGAGCCAAGGATACACCAGGTAAAAGTTACTTTTTATATCCAAAATTATAACGTTTTGTTTGATTTATTGGATTACCTAGCTTTTTCATAGTTCTGGGCCGGAGAATATGGAATGAAGTTTACCGGATACGGTTATTTCGACTCGAGTTTACACAAGAACCTCATTGGTACGAAAGTATTGGGTAGGGTACAGGGTATTACTTTTCTCAATCGAAGCTTTTCGCTAAGGCCAAAGACTCCAGCAAACAATCGAGTCCGTAGCTCACGATCTCGATTAATATAATTTTATATTTGATATCAAAGAGAGGGATAAAGGTAAAAGAACTTTTAACACAATAAGCCCTATTCGAATCTATATTTATTACACCAACTAATTTAGATAGAAGATCAACGCGGTGATGAGGGAAGATCTTTTTCAAGTTCTCCGGGGACACACCCGTGTTCATTCTCTTCGCATTCCATTGTTCCGTGGCAACAACAATTCGTACCGCCGTCAGTTACCAGGACCAGGACTTAATGAAACCCGATCCTGACGACGTCTTTGGATGTATTGGACGACCTATATTTAATGAGCCGTAAAAACTCTAATAGGCGGGCGTTCTCCAATAGACCGGCACTCTCCAATTGACGAAAAACCTAGAGGGGAATTGAAAAATAGACGGGCATGCCCCTCTATTAGAGTACTTTATTTTTTACATTGATATCAATTTTTGTTTGTGATACCAGGATTTATTCAAAGAAAATGCTTTTTGTGATGATCATTTTCCTGCATAATTACTTCTTGTTTAGACTGTTTAAACTTTCAAGGATATAAATTTTCACATGTACTCTTGTTGGCATTTCATTTTTTGCTTTTGGTGCTATAGGTATTTGGTTTCAAGCGATTAAAGCCGTTAATTTTCAACGCGTAAATATGCGCGATTGATGTTTATCCGCTCCGAGCCCAATTTGCATTTAAGTCCTTTGGATTGTATCACATGCTAAACTTTTTGTAGTTTTGGGGTCAACTAATAAGTGCTCATGTACAATATTTTCTGTCAATACCCCAGTTAAACCCTTACAATTAAAAGTTACGCTTATCACGCTAACGCTGTAAGGCAGAAATTCACGGACATTTTCTCTTTCACATAGTTCACCAAGGGGCACTTTTGTGTCTGCTCCTCTCATAAACATCACTCTCTGAAAGAGAATTCTCAATTCTGGTAAACAAACAACTGCTCGATGGTTCGGAGTGATTGACCCTTTCACTTTTTTCAAAGCAAGAAATTCGAAGCTTTTACTTTTTTAACTATTTTATTTTGAAAGTTGGTTTTTTTCCTATATTTTTACCTATACCTAGTTATCTTGCTTTCAACTTTAAATCAGCTATTGACCCGGATTTTGTCCGTTTTTGAATCTATTCAATAACGGGACCATCCTGATTGCGCCGCGAAAATTGCGCTGGGAAATTTTGCGCTGCGAGAGTAGCACCACAAGGCCAGAGACGGTAAAAAGTCTTTCGGCGCAATTTTCGTTTTTGGCTTGCAGCCCAATCGCCATGGTCTCTCAATAACGGATATCCGTTTTTAATCGTCCAAACTACATTTCAGCAATTTCCAAACTTGATTACGTAGCACCGAAATGAAGCCGAAAGTTTGTGACAAAAATTGCATGTTTAAGCTTGAAAGTTAAAGTCCAGCCTGAAAGGTTGTTGAAATTTCTTCATAATAAAAGAAAAAAAAAAGCATGGACTAGGAGTCTTATCCACGAAAATTTGACGTTTCCTATAAGATTTTCTTTTATTTTCCACTTGATAAGAGAGAGTCTATTTCGAGCTTGGCATCCCTTTTGCCGGAAATTCAGCGAATGACTCGAATGAATAGCTTTGACCAAAATAATATCAGCGGTTGCTTTCGACGTTTGATCTCGGAGTCACCCCACCATTTCTCTCTCTATTTTTTGATCTCGGCTTTAGTCTGACTATTTTATCGTTTCTCGTTTCACGCAAAATTGCGTCAATGTTCCAGTCAATATTCGTCTATTTAGGCTAACTTGATTCAACAAACGAACCAAAGATGTCATCATTCTTGCCCGGTATTTCGATGGCTGCCCCAATTGAGGTCTTCCACATGAACAATCTCTATTTTACGAGAAACCGATCCGAAAAAAGTCAATTTGACTATTTTAGGTGGGTTTTTGTTACTCTATTTCGGGTTGAAGAGTATGAAATAGCGCCGACTTTCAAAGAAAACTTCCTATAACATCGAATAGTTTTTATCAAATGACATGCGGGTAGAAAGGTCATTAGAAAGAAAGGTCATAAAGAATAGAAAGGTCACTTATTTCTCTACAAAATCATATTTGAAATAGAACTCAAGAAGCGCCACTAAATCAATAAAAGATAATTTTTTCAGAAAATCTGTAAATCATCCAGAAAATTAATGAAAAGATCACTACAAAAATTTGGCTACTTATGTAATTAAATATGCTCTAACGTTTTAGTTTCAACAACAAGTTAAGTTTATGTGTCGGGAAAGAGTCAAACGACGAATCGGACTCCTTGTCACTTTGACTCGTTGCCTTTAAAGAGCCCATAAAATCCACAAAACAAAAGCTTTTCGGAATCTCCCAAAAGCCATTTTGTAAAGCAATGATAGACCTTTTCGATTATACAAACAATGAATTATATAGAGCTTTTATGCGTTTTCTAGAAAAATTTTGGAAAGTCGGCGCCATTTTCATACTCCCCAACCCAATAGAACTAGAATTGTCGTTTGACTTTAAATCGAAGGTATTGAATGGCAGTTTCAAATTGACTTGATTGTTAAACGCCTACCGATCTAAACTGTTTACAAAGATTGTATCATCCATTTAAAAAGCAATATTTTCAGCACTTATCGAACTGAGAAGGGAAAACCCTGGGCAGGTTTTGCCGGTGGTTCGAACAACCGAAGGCGGCTCTCGCGGCGGATTGAAGCAGCTTAACCATGAGTATCTTCCCGTACTTGGATACAGGCCCTTCTCAAAAGAGGCCACAAAATTGGTTCTCCGGGCGGATTCGCCAGCAATCAAAGGGAGGACAGAGTAAGTCTTGAAGCTAAACACTTTTTGCAAAGATAAGTCTTCATTGATAACGTTCGGAATCAAGCTGAACACATCACTAAATCTAACATTTAAAAAGTAAACTCTCAAAAGTAGAAACTTATAGCATAGTTATAATTGATTTTTATAAGCGATAGTCATGATTGATTTTTTGCAGGTGATTGGCGTGCAATGTCTTTCCGGGTACAGGATCTCTTCGTGCTGGTGCTGAATTCCTCGCACCAGTTATCGGATTGAAAACGGTTTACTACAGCAATCCAACTTGGTTTGGTGAATCCAGAAGCGATAGTTATAATTGATTTTTAGGGGAAATCACGATCTCGTCTTCACAAATGCCGGATTTCAGAGCCTCAACAGCTATACTTACTGGGATCAGATCAACCGAAAAGTCGACATTGACAACTTAATTAAAGGTAATTCAATACCACGTAAAGATGAGGAATGTTCCAAAGCCAAATCGTTTCAGGATCTCGATGCAGCTCCACCAAAATCAGTGATACTTCTTCACGGATGTGCTCACAATCCCACCGGAATGGATCCAACGAAAGATCAGTGGAAACAAATTTGCGAAGAAGTTGTTAAGGTAGTGTTTTTATAAACTAAAGAAGATAAACTTTAAATGGAAATATTCAGAGAGAAAGAATCTCTTCACTTTCTTCGACATTGCCTATCAAGGATTTGCTTCAGGGAGATCCTGATGCGGACAACCAGGGCTATTCGATATTTCATCGAACAGGTATGATAGCTAGCTTTTTTTAATATGCTATAGAACACAATTACCGTTCAGCTTAACATACTAATTACTCTTACAGCAGCAACATGATTAGCGAAACCTGATTATAAACAAAGTAGCACTAATATTCTGCTCTGAAATCGTATTTTTAGGGCGTCGAGATGAAAGGCGATCACATCAATCTTTCGCCAAAAACTTTGGACTTTACAGTAGGTTTCAGTTGAATTTTCGATGAATTCCGAAACATTAGTCCTCAACCTCAATTCCTAAAATGTCAGCCCTAAGTGGTTTTCAATCATTTGCAAAAAAAAAAAAAAAAAAAAAAAAAAAAAAAAAAAAAAAAAAAAAAAAAAAAAAAAAAAAAAAAAAAAAAAAAAAAAAAAAAAAAAAAAAAAAAAAAAAAAAAAAAAAAAAAAAAAAAAAAAAAAAAAAAAAAAAAAAAAAAAAAAAAAAAAAAAAAAAAAAAAAAAAAAAAAAAAAAAAAAAAAAAAAAAAAAAAAAAAAAAAAAAAAAAAAAAAAAAAAAAAAAAAAAAAAAAAAAAAAAAAAAAAAAAAAAAAAAAAAAAAAAAAAAAAAAAAAAAAAAAAAAAAAAAAAAAAAAAAAAAAAAAAAAAAAAAAAAAAAAAAAAAAAAAAAAAAAAAAAAAAAAAAAAAAAAAAAAAAAAAAAAAAAAAAAAAAAAAAAAAAAAAAAAAAAAAAAAAAAAAAAAAAAAAAAAAAAAAAAAAAAAAAAAAAAAAAAAAAAAAAAAAAAAAAAAAAAAAAAAAAAAAAAAAAAAAAAAAAAAAAAAAAAAAAAAAAAAAAAAAAAAAAAAAAAAAAAAAAAAAAAAAAAAAAAAAAAAAAAAAAAAAAAAAAAAAAAAAAAAAAAAAAAAAAAAAAAAAAAAAAAAAAAAAAAAAAAAAAAAAAAAAAAAAAAAAAAAAAAAAAAAAAAAAAAAAAAAAAAAAAAAAAAAAAAAAAAAAAAAAAAAAAAAAAAAAAAAAAAAAAAAAAAAAAAAAAAAAAAAAAAAAAAAAAAAAAAAAAAAAAAAAAAAAAAAAAAAAAAAAAAAAAAAAAAAAAAAAAAAAAAAAAAAAAAAAAAAAAAAAAAAAAAAAAAAAAAAAAAAAAAAAAAAAAAAAAAAAAAAAAAAAAAAAAAAAAAAAAAAAAAAAAAAAAAAAAAAAAAAAAAAAAAAAAAAAAAAAAAAAAAAAAAAAAAAAAAAAAAAAAAAAAAAAAAAAAAAAAAAAAAAAAAAAAAAAAAAAAAAAAAAAAAAAAAAAAAAAAAAAAAAAAAAAAAAAAAAAAAAAAAAAAAAAAAAAAAAAAAAAAAAAAAAAAAAAAAGAACTTAGTCAAAATTTACCTATAAAAAAATCCGAAGGATTCGTTTGATTTAGGCTAGGGTGGACTTTTGGTGGGAGAACCGAGTAATTATGACGCACCCTATAGTGTGAGATCGTTAGTACTGAATATTTTCGGGGGAATTGAAACCCAGTCAAGTCTGAGTGTTGTTGTCAGATTCAATACAGTTTGGCACTAGTATCAGATTGTTCAGTTCAGGAATAATATTCAAATAGAAACCAACTCAACTTTGGTCTGTGACAAAGGAATTTTTCAACGATGGCTCTTGGGCCTGTAAACCAGGTGTCAGATCTTGGATCTATTAACCAGGTCAAGGCCTGGCTTTTTCGGTGAAGCTCAAGGGTTTTTTTAGTGAATCAAGGCTGCAGCAAAGAAGGCCATACGACCAGGAGAAAAAATGGGAGACTCAAAATTAGAATCCTGATCTTGCTGGTCTTCTTTGGAAGCAATCCCTGACTTGACTTTTTGGCTTTGAAGAATCCCTGAACCCACACCTTTCTGAACTGGATTGGGACGTTTTGACTGAACTACTAGAATCTAGATAAAATTCGAGGAGTTGAATTCGAGAAATGGTCGAGAAACCACTTGTTATATTGTTGGGGACACAGGATTCCATCCAATTCCCACACCTGTTCGATTTCAGATATGTGGCCAAGGCTTTCTTCGATGAGACTGTTCGAGAGACGATCAAGAGCCATATTTAAAAGAAGAGAGCAGACAACGATCTTCAACGAAAATTCCTATAATGAAATTGATTTTTATGTAGATTTTATTAAGTTTTTCAAAGAAGTTGATTACTTTTAAAGTTAGTTGCAAAATCTAATCTTTATCGGGTAGTCACTAGAGTTTGCGAAAATTTAGATGAAATACTACCGTAATACCTGTAATAGTAGCGCCCCCGTACGGTCGCGTAGTTGCAAAAATTTTTTATTAAATCATTTTTTTTACTAAGTGCCGCATTTTCATGCATGTTTGAGGTCAAAAAAAACAGCTCTGAATTTCAGCTTTCATTTGATACTTAGCGCACACTGTGGCATAAACGGGTGGCGAGAAAAATACGTTTAAAGTTAAACTACGCGACGCTCCAGCCGTCATTATCGACGGGCGGCGAGCAGCGCTACTAATAGATGTATTACGGTAGCGGAAAATAATTGTAAATAAAATTTATTCACAATATCATAGAGATAACGAAAAGAAGTCTTGCACTTTTTAGGGGTGAAAATTTTTGTGGGGGAAAGACTTTTGGTTTTGGCGGGATGACTAAAAAATAAAAAATACAATAATAAGAGCAACCGGGATTGTAAAGCAAAACTCGTGACTTATAATGGTGAGTGACTTAGAAAATTTGCATACAAAGATGAAATAAAGATAAGATCAAGATATTCAGTTTGACTATTACATTTTAAAGCATTAACGATTTAGCATCGACCAAACCTTTTCGAAAGATCTCTTTGAGAAAAGCTACCGTACTATACTATCTTTTGTGAGTTTGCCGTATCCCACAAAGTATGCAGGTATCAATTGAATTGAATCAATTGGATTCAAATTCACATGAAAAGCTCTTTAAATACGATAACCCTGAAAATAAGCTATTCAACAAAGATAAGCTATTCCCAGTTGATCTAGCTACGATCAACTGATCAATCGAGTACTGTAGTACTGTAGCTTTTGGGTACTGTAGGCTTTCGGGTTACTGTAGCTTTCAGGTACTGTAGCTTTCCGGTACAGTAGCTTTCCAGTGCAGTAGCTTTCGGGTACAGTAGCTTTCCAGTACTGTAGCTTTCGGGTACCGCTAAACTCCGAGTACAGTAGCTTTCGGGTACAGTAGCAAAAAAGTACTGTAGCTTTCCGGGTACACCATCTAGCTTTCGGAGTCACTGTAGCTTTCTCGGGTACTGTAGCTTTCTCTTAAGCGCATCTTTTTAGAAAGCACATTAATCCCGAAATTTTAAACAGCCGATTTTTGAAGATTTTAGAAGAGTTTCTTCTTTAAAAAAACGATAAGGCAGACTGAAAAATACCCATTTGTAACGTAAATTTAACATAAAATGACAGAATTTAACATAAAATGATAAAAAATTGTCATTTTAAGTAAAATCAAAAATTTCCATTAAAAAGTACGGTAACTCCTGTCTGTCTATCTCACTACAGTAAGTGAATTGAATGTTCATTAACCGTTCAATTAACCGTTCAATTAACTGAATATCTTATACCGTAGTGAGACAGGGGATTACGAGCTAGCGATTTCGATAAAGAGCTAGCGATTTCTCATCAAGCACAAAAATAGCGAAAAAATGAAGAGGAGATGCGCGGACGTCGGCGTTGACGAGTTGAGATGACCTCGCTGTTTGGCCTATCTTCCCTGAATAAGCTTTTGTTTTGTTTTGAATTTGGGGTGCCAATTTATATTCCAATTTGCAGATTCAGCGATAGTTTGAGGGGTTTTTGCTTTGGAAAAAGAAAAACTAAATCCAATCCGTTTTTTCACCCTGTTTTAATCTTCCTCATCATCTTCCCTCATAATCGTCTGCTCAGATTAACAGCAGATTTTGCTAAAGAGAGAAATTTTTGGATTTCAAGTGTTTCGATAGTGAGTTAACAGTGCTCACTATCCGAAACAATGTCTTGGAGTGATCAAAAAACCCGCTTGGCTCCGATTGGCCCATATTCAAATTACAGATTCAGCTCCCACCTACTGTTAATCACTCTAACTTCACCCCCTCCTAACTTTAGACACCTCGTTCTCAGCCCCCATTTTGAGATATTTTATGTTTTTAGGTCAAAAGGTGGCCCATAATCTACTCTATCTTTTTGAATTATGTTAAACACTTAAAAAAGTATCTTAAAACTGTGCTGAGAGCAGGGAAATAAACTCAAAGACGTCTAAACCCCGATCAGTCAACTTTGGGCATCTCGTTCTCGAGAAACAGTTTTGAGACCACTTTATCATTTAATATGTCAAATGGGAACCCTTAAAGTATTTCTATCTTTTGGTATATGGAACATAAATGCTATCTCAAAACAAAGCTGAAAAAAAAGGCTACAGTATCCTCGAGGAACCCTTAAATCACACTGCCGTTGAGACATCTCGTTCCTCAGCTCAGTGTAAGAGGTACTTTTATGTTTAATATGTCAAAAGAAAGAATGGCCTTAATGTCTTCTATCTTTTTGGTATATTAAACATAAAAATATCCCAAAATGGGGTTGAGAACGAGATTGTCTGAAGAGAGGAAGAGAACGTAGTTAGAAGAAAAACGATGATTAAATTTGTTTATCGTTGAAGTTTCAGGTTAATTAGAAATCATACAGATAGGCCCAGTATTCTAGAATTGTCTTTCCCTTACCGTAATCCGATTCTCTGTTCTGCCCTAAATTTGAGTAATGGAGCGAAGCTTTAACGGCTGGCATTCTGCATTTAGAGCTCATTTTTCCAATTCTAGTCCATCAGTAAAAAGCGCACAGGCGATTTTTTGATCACTTTTTGACATTGTAAATTGGCATTGTTGACATTAAAAATTGGCAGGTTGGACATTAGAAATTAGCATTTTTGATCATTTTGAGCTTTTCGAGGCAGCATTTTACCAGAAATTTGGTTCAAAATAAGCTTTGATTATGCTTTTAATAGCTTTAATAGCTTTAATGGCTTTGCTTATGTCTTTTCACCAAGTGTCAATTTGTTTTTTTGCAACTAGAAACTAACCATCCTTCAGTGAGCATGATTCAACCCGTGACCATGTTTACATTGTGCACCCGTTCAGGCTCAATGCCGAGAATATTCAATGCAACCTAGAAATAATACGAATTTTCAGGGAGTTTCATACGTTAAAAGAATGTTAAAAAAAGAAATATAAAGACTGTAAAACAAAGGACAAACAAAAATCAAACAAAAAAATAAACAAAAACAACAACAAGCTTATTGTTTACTTGATACACGTCAAACCATATCGATCGGTCCCGTACTTCTCATTCGTTTTAAAGGCTAAATTCTTTTCTGTTTTTCAATTGATCAACTGTTTTAATTGCTCTAATGCTAAAAAAAGGTTCCAGTTGGATTTCTAGAGACGAAAGGCGGTAAAATTCTAGAGACAAAGACGAAAGACAGATCCTCTCGCCAAAAAGATTCCACGCCTATCGTTTGCTCTCGAGTTTCCCATCCACCAACAGCTTTCCGAGTTGTCACGACACTTCGACGGGAAGTGACGGCAGTTCTCTCTGGATTTAATAATATATTATTTTCTGCATTCTAACACTCTTGCATTCTTTTGTATCAAAACAATTCATAGAATTCATACCGTAAATACTGTAATGATACCCCAGCCCCATAATGACGGTCGAACTGTCCCGGCATGCCACAGCTTTGACAGCATTTTTCTCAACACTGGCTTATGCTACAATGTTCGTTTGCGTATCAAAAAAATAGCTGAAATTCAGGGCTATTTTTTGATACCAAAGCTTACACATTTCAGCGGAAACTCAGTGTCGAAAAAAAACTCGTTCAAAGCTGGAGCTAGATACCGTCATTATGGGGCTCCCCGCGTCTCCCAGTATTTACAGAACCTTCTTTTCTCACCGATACAATCGTTGTTCCAGGCTTGGTGATGAGGAACGATCGGCGACATGAAGCGTAGTCAGCCCAACGGAGACTTTCCAGGGGATATCCAGCGGCTCTGAAAAACAATTCTTGCTTCTTGGCTTCTGCTTCCCCTTTAAAGAAGCTAAAAGAAACCCATTCAAGTAGATTCTTTTGGCTTAAAACAGGTTTATTCAACAATTCAACAAGTGAATATTTATTAAGATTAGCTAAAAACTAAAAAGCTTAGCGATTTTAACCACTCACCGATAAACGGATACTGGAAGGCGCCTCAGTGTCATCATAATCACACCCGTTGGGGCCGGTGATCGCAAACTTTCAGCTCGTAGAAGATCTGAGGGAAGAGTGAAATGCGTAAATGGCAGCTCACTTACCGTATCCTCGTCTTCAGGATCAGTAAGATACCATGACAAATTTCCGTGGCTGTTCACGATTCGTTGCACCCTGAAAAAGGTAGCAAATTATTGTTTCCCAGCTGTAAATATAGCTGCTTTCGAAGCAGCGCCGCTGTCCCCTCATGGCTCAGTCAGGAGCAGGCTGGTCACCACAACCCACAAGGGCAGGGTTCGACTCCCCGTACTTGCCCTGAGTTTTTAATTTTGATTTTAAATGCCACAACTATATTATATTATATTTCTATTCTATTCTCACGATTCGTTGCACCCCCACAAGGTGGCAAATTACATTGTATTCCAGCTGTAAATAACTGTTTACGAAGCGACGGCCCTGTGTCGCCGTGGCTCAGTGAGAAACGGGCTGGTCTACAACCCACAAGAGCCGAGGGTTCGACCCCCATTGCCAACACCCAGTTTTCAATTTTTGATTTTAAATGCCACAACGATATTATATTATATTATAATTATATTATATTATATTATATTATATTATATTATATTATATTCTATTCTATTCTATTATATTATATTATATACTCTTAACTTTTAATTACTATATTATTTAAGACTTTAAAGAAACTAACCCAATCCCAATTTTTTGACCCAAAGAAGGCTGAGAAAAGCTCGTATAGACAGACGGACAGACGGAAGACACTATAGTGTCTAAAGTAGTGCACTACTCTTTTATATACCGTAATACACTGTGATAGTAGACCCCCTTATAGTCACTTGGAGTCTACAATTTTGTGATTCTGCGTGCTGTTTCAACGAAAGAGATAGCGCTTGAAGCGAAGAATCTTTTGATACTTAACAGTTTATTTCAAAGAAATCTGGGTGCGTTCAAAAAAATGATTTACTTTAGCGACTCTGCGACTTTACGTTATTATGGGGGCGCCACGCGGACGCCACGCCACGGCCACAGGGATTACAATCGTGGATTGAATTTAACCCTACTTTTGAATAGTCAGCCAAACACTCCTCGAGAAAATATTGCTTAACTTCTTCGTTGACCTGTTGCCCAGACCTAAAGTCAAGATTACATTAATCAATTCAATTCTTTGGTACTAATAACTTAATGCGCTGCTCTAATAAGCAGCAGAAGTCTACATTCTAGCTCTAATTTGCTAACGACTCGATTTCCGACTGTTTTATCAATGTTATTTCATTTGTTTTCTCAGCTTAATCAAACATTCTGCATCTATTGGTGATCCATTGAAAGCTTTGAACAACCTTTGCTAATGTTTTAACAATCTTTCTTAATCTTTTATTGAGCTAGCTGAAGAAACACCGAAGAATAGTGAGGCTAAAGGGTGAAATCAAAGTGAAAACTATTTCAAAAGCACTCTAAAAGTATGACCAATAGAGAGATATGTGATTACCCTAGAAAACCAGACTAGAAAAAAAGACGCGTAGAATAGGTTTTGACGATTTTTCTTTCGAGCAGTAATCTCAAATACCATTCAATTTTCTCAGCTGACCATGATCGGACAAAACAATGAGAGATTCGTCGATGCGAAGAGACCTTTGCTCGTCCGGTTGCTTCTGGAATTTGATTGATTGATAAAAAAAAAATGATAAATGAGAACTGTATTTCTAAAGCCTACCGTAAACACTTTAAAAAAATCGTTATAATGGCGTCATAATGACGCCAGAATGATGCCAGAATGACGCCAGAATGATGCCATAATGCCGCCATAATGACGCTAGAATGACGCCATAATGCCGCCATAATGACGCCAGAATGATGCCAGAATAACGCCGGGGCGAAGCGCCGTGATGGCGCCATGGCGAAGAATGACGCCAGAATGACGCCAGAATAACGCCATAATGCTGCCAGAATAACGCCATAATGCTGCCAGAATAACGCCATAATGCTGCCAGAATGCCGCCATAATGACGCTAGAATGACGCCAGAATGACGACAGAATGACGACAGAATGACGCCAGAATGTTGCCAGAATGATGTCATAATGACGCCATAATGGCGCCATAATGACGAAGAATGACGCCAGAATGACGCCAGAATAACGTCATAATGCTGCCAGAATGACACCAGAATGACGCTAGAATGACGACAGAATAACGCCAGAATGATGCCAGAATGACGCCATGGCGTCAAAATAATAGCTCAAGTGCGCGGGAGAGTCGAACCAACAACCCCATACGTTGGCGCGGGATTGACGTCGCGCGCCTTAGACCACTCGGCCACGGTTTCCCCTTATGTTTTTAGTGTATTTTGCAAAATTTCTTGAAAGATGTTATAACTTTTTGTAGAGTTGAGCAAATTTGATGATTTTTGCGTCAAAATGTTCGTAAGAGTCTCTAGAATAAAAGTTATCCCTTCGTTTTTGGTTCTAGACCCTCATTGTCGAGTTACGAGCCCCAAACTGCGGTTAAATTTACCCCCAAAAAGAATTTCCGTCCACAAAATGACCAAAAAACCGCTAAAACTAAATTTTAAAAAATTTCTGTTAGAGGGATTTGAAAAATTCCTTCAGATTCGGAATCAGCACAATTTTCCGCATCTAAAAAAGGTACTCTGCAGAAAAATCCGATAGAAAACGCATTTTTGACTTGTTTCGCGCAGATGTGCGCCAAGAATGACGCTAGAATGACGCTAAAGAGAAGCGTGTGTCAGACGGGCGTACACAGTCGAATAGTCTAGCTTTGAACGTCCCATTCTCTCGCTTTATGCTACAGTGTATGCTGTAGTGCCAAATCAGCGGAATCTAGTCCTTGTAGTCCATGCCAAAATCTATTACCAAAAGTATTGGGGAAAAATCTGGGAGTTGAGAAGAAATGATTTTCTAAATACCAGCTGGACTTACGCGACTAATAGGAGAAGCTTTCTATTAGAGGCTGTACAGGGCAGTTCTAGTAAATGTTGGTATCTGGTATTTTGGTTTATAGTATTTGGACCTTTACCTGTAAATCGTGAATGTGCAGATCGATTCTGACTGATCGCCTCCTCCACCTCGTCCACTTCCATAACTTCATGGGTTTCGATTGCTGTCGTAAATTTTTTGGAGATATCAGTAGAGGAAGAAGATAAAGGGAGAGCAGGTGGAGCGCTTTCGATCTTTCAGTCTTAACCAGTACCCAGTAACCAGTAACGAAAAGAACAAGTTAGCTACGGGTTTTCCGAGAGTTTTACGAAGTTTTACGATTTAGATACGTTTTTTCGAGAATTTTCCAAAACTTTATCAACCTCCCCTGATCCTGATAGACTTTAAAAAGCTTTAACTTGTAGATTTACCAGTGGGCAGTCAGTAGATTTACCTGTTGCTTATAGGGGCTGAATCTTGAAAATGCTTCTTTACAATCTCCGGGAATTGTTCACCGAGATCCGGTGGTTTGATCTGGGTTAGATAAGTCGATGTGCCGCTTTGGTGGGACGAGCACGAGAAGATCCCCGAAACCACGCTAGAAATGATAGTTGGCAGTAAAAGCTCTTGACAAGTAGTAGCTCTTGGCAATAGCAGCTCTTGGTAACAGCAGCTCTTGACAATAACAGCTCTTGAGAATAGCAGCTCTTGTGACAATAGACACAGCTCTTGACAATCAAGTAAGCCCCTCTTGTTAACAGCAGCTCTTGGCAATAGCAGTTCTTAGCAACAATCTACTGTTAGCCTTGGCAATAACCTTGACAATAACGGCTAGGTACAATTACCGGACAAAAGTCTCTGTTACCCCCGTGCCCAGCACCCAACTTTCAACGCTATTTTTAGACAGATAACCAGAAGAAAACCCCAGAGCACCATATATATTTTCTGAAAGCCCAACTCAAGCTCTAAAAGATCCAAACTCTATAATTCAAGCTCTACAATTTAAGCTCTTCTTCAAAAATACATCCTTTTTTTGATGCATTTCAGATCACGCAGCTCATCATTTCAGATCAAGTGAGGTGTCAAAAATCATCGTGGATGTTTGAAAAGCAATCCTCTGAAGCTTTAGATGAGCCTTTAGTGAAGTGCACTGTTGAGTACACACCGAAGCGGCGACTTTGAGTCGCCGAAAGTCGAATTTAAAACGCATTTTCCCGATTTTTTCTCTATGAAATTCGTAATCTACGTAAAAAAATAGCTCTAGAAAAGGCACTTTTAAGGGAAAACTGGTTCTGGAAAGAAAAACTGGTTCTTTCAAAGAAAAACTGGTTTTAAAACTGGTTCTTTTAAACGAACCCAACGAGAAAAAGGTTCCTTTCGACTAACGCGTTTTCTAAAATTCACCTATTTGAGAAAGCCCACCGTAGTCAAACCGTTTGATTTTCATCAGATCAGCTCAATTTTTGTATCATTTGATGAGGAATCACCAGGCTTAGTCAATGCTTTTAAAATTGGATTGAATTTGATGAAAACGAGGGTTTGACTACAGGCTGCACTCTCTCAAGTAGGTGCATTTTTCGAAAAAGCATTAGTCGAGAGGAGCATACTCTAGGAAAACGCATTACTCTTGACAATCGCAGCTCTTGACAATAGCAGCTCTTGGCAATAGCAGCTCTTGACAATAGTAGCTTTGAGATCCAAAAGATTCAAAATCTATCAATCCAACCTTGCCTCTACCCCTACCCCTACAAGTACTGCTATATCATACTGCTGCTGTAAATCTGGTTAAGGAAGCCTGAAGAGCTCACACGGCAATGCGCGATCCAATAACAATTCACATCGATATTCTTTCTTCAAGCTAATGGACCAAAGAGGAGTCAGCAAATCTTGCCACCACAAATCATCGGTATCGTTTGGACCTGGAAGAAGGGAAATAAAAGTAAAAAAAAAAAAAAAAAAATAACGGTAAAGTTGTTTACCTATCGATCGAGTTTTATCGATCCGAGTACATACCCTTTAAGTAAGGCCATTTGCAAAATTCTATACCTTTTTCTTCGCCTGTAAATTTGTAAATTCTATACCTTTTCTTTTAGATTTCCCTTCAGTTTACTGAATTTTCTCCTCATTCGATTCAAATTTACATATAAATAATAAACCCTTGGCTCGTGATAAAGTAAATCGAAGAAATCTAAAGGAAAAGAATAAAAAATTTCCCCAAATTATCCCCGATTTAGAAAGAAATTTATTCTAAAGATGTTTTAAAGTATTTTTCTTGCTTATTCAAAAAGTATTCCACACCTGTTCCGTGTTCAAAAGTATTTTTTGCTTATTCCAAAGGTGTTCAAGCACCTGTTCCCCTTTGAAATCCCACATCTTTCTCATTGGACTACATGTAATCAGCTTGGTGAAACGATGGTTTTCCGTGTAGAGACCTAGAAAGATATTAGGTTGTTTTGAAATAAATGAATCTCCTGGGAATAAATCTCCTGCAGAATAAATCTCCTGGAATAAATCTCCTGGAATAAATGTCCGGAAATCAATGAGCCTTTTATTATTGTTGATTATTTGGGTACATTTTTCTCAATAAAGTATACTCTATACCTTGTTATATACCATTGGAAACAATGTTATATACCCCATGGAACCATTAGAAAGGTTAGGAGGCTGAGCTCATGCTCCCGACACTTACTGAAGTTTCGACTCCGTCCCCAGCGTTTGTTGCAAGAAATAGTTCTCTTCTTATTTTTTGGATAATGTTGTTCTTTTGTAGCATAATCGTTGAGCTGAAATAGAGCATAATCATTCAATCAGTAACTTGACACTCTTTCTGTACATAAAGATCTCTGACTTTTGAGCCCGAAGCACCTTTACAGTAAAGCTAGCTTATAACCAGCTTCGTTGCCGGAAAATTCCGACGGGAGTATTTCCGTGGAAAAACGTTAGAAAGCTGATTTCGTGCTCTCCTTTAACCCTTTCAATTTTGTTGAAAATAAAATTTTTTTATTGAAACCCATCGCCGTTCTTAGATCATCAAGATACCGAAAATTTTGCCAGTTTTTCTTTTGCTGAGTTCAAACTCGGTCGCAATGCAGCTGCAAAAATGGCTCGTAACAGCTTAACAAAACGGCTTAACAAAGTTTGGGGTCAAGGCAGTGTCCAAAGCAGTGTCCAAGGCAGTCAACAGTGCGAACTTGGTTCCGAAAATTGTGTTAAACGTAATGGTTCTTATTTCTTATTGCAATGGTTATTATTTCGATTTGTTTTGTTTGGATCAAGTTATGGGACTTCGAGTATTCGAGTTGTTCGAGTATTCGAGTTGTTCGAGTATTCGAGTTGTTCGAGTATTCGAGTTGTTCGAGTATTCGAGTTGTTCCAGTATTCGAGTTGTTCCAGTATTCGAGTTGTTCCAGTATTCGAGTTGTTCAGAATATTCGGGTTGTTCAGTATTCGGGTTGTTCCAGTATTCCGGGTTGTTCGAGTATTCGAGTTGTTCGAGTATTCGAGTTGTTCAAGTATTCGAGTTGTTCGAGTATTCGAGTTGTTCGGAGTATTCGAGTTGTTTCGAGTATTCGAGTTGTTCCAGTATTCGAGTTGTTCCAGTATTCGAGTTGTTCCAGTATTCGAGTTGTTCCAGTGTTATTCGAGTTGTTCCAGTATTCGGAGTTGTTCAGTATTCGAGTTGTTCCAGTATTCGAGTTAAAAACGCGCATTTATTTAACCTAATAAGCCTAATAAATTATCGAGCTTGAATGGCTGAAAGAAAGAAGAAGCCTGATAAATTATCGAGCTTAAATGGCTTCATTAGCTTCATCGAATGAAAACGATAGCTTGATTTTTGAATCTTTAGACATTTTCTTATCTCAGTCTTCTCATTAGTCTAACCAATTCTTGATTTCAATCACGATCTAGCAGAGATCATCCTTGTTTTAAAAGGAATAAATGATTTTAAAAGGACTAAATGATTTCACAATGATTTTTAGATCTTTACAAGAAGCATTTTGATCTTGAAATCTCAAAAATTCGTACAAATTTTTGCATGTTCTTGATGTGAAATCGTTTGAAATTAATCTCATCTTTTTTTCTTCTCAATAAATCGCTTTCTTTTCAAATCTTTTCAAAGAGTACATTCGTTTTACAACAGCCGCGTTTTTCTTTCACTTTTCGGCTATATTTCATTTGCACATGTAGGCAAATTTTGAGGAAGAAAAAGAAAGAAAAGGGAAGAAAAGAAAGAAGAAAAGAAAGAAAAGGAAGAAAAGGGAAGAAAAGAAAGAAGAAAGAAAAGGGAAGAAAAGAAAGAAAAGAAAGAAAGGAAAGAAAGAAAAGAAAGAAAAGAAAATAAAAAGAAGAAAGAAAAGAAAGAAAGAAAGGAAAGAAGTAAATGAAATCTCGAAAATGAATGGCAAAGACATGGTGTAGTGGGTGACGGGGTGGACATTGAATTGAGGACATCAAGGACATTGAATCCTTGAGTGTTCTTCAGATCCATCACTAATGAGATAGTGATAGACTTGTGGCCTAAGTACTAGTTGTAAACAGTGAAGTTGATCATAGTGTCTATTGGATCAAGCAAATCAGCTTGCCCAGGTCAAAAGCCAGGTACACTTTTGACTTTTGACCCAAGAAGGTCTAAAAAGAGAGATTTGGAGGTTAAAGATTGGGCATGACACTCTTTAAAGGTGACTCTCACAAGCCGGAACCCAGCAGCCAATTGGTCAAGTGGTTAGGAGGCTAGGCTGATGCTCCGAGATTGCTTGGTTCGACTCCGTTCCCGGCATTTCTTTTGCAAAACCATTCTCTTCATTGTGCAAATGTGTTCTTTATCAAATTGCATAATCGTCCGTCAACTGACACACTTTCTGTACATAAGATCTTTGACTTTTGACCCTAAGCACCTTTGCAGTAAAGCTAGCTTATAACCGGCTTTGTTGCCGGAAAATTCCGACGGGAGTATTTCCGCGGAACCAAAATTTCCGCCAGAAAGGCTGGCCGGAAGTTTTGTATGGAAAATTTCCGGATTTCGATTTCGAACGTTCCGCAAGAATACTATGTACATACTTTGTACTTTGTCAGCGAGTTTTCGAGGAGAGAGAGGAGAAAATAGAGCATAGGCTCAGGATGAACACTGATTTTTATTGCACCAGCTTGGTCCTAGAGCCATTGCATTGACTCTTTTCTTTGCCAAATACATGCATACCTATTTAACGACTTAAATTATTGCTTTTCTTTTTTGATCATCACATTTAAAGATTACCAATATTCTCTAGTAAACTAGAAAATTGAAAAAATTATTTCTTAAAAGACATTCGACCAGTTGAATAGCTTGTGAAGTGAAATTCTTATTTCCCACATTGAAAAATGGATAGGGATTTGTGGGGATGTTCAAAGGATGTTCAAAGAATGTTCAAAGAATGTTCAAAGGATGTTCAAAGAATTTCATTATGTGTAATTCCCCCTTTCAATTGCATGTTTGGCATGTGTTTATTTGGATGACGAAAGAAAAAAGAGAGATAGAGAAATGGGGAAATGGGGAAATGGGGAAAAGGACGTGTCATTTCTTTTAATCTATCCCATTCCCCTTCTGTTCATCTGTCGAGATGAACACCCCAAGAACACCCACCAATAATCAGATATTTGTGTACACTAAAAAATTCAAGAGGTTTTGCTGAGAATTTACTTAGAGAAATCTTTCTCACCTGTTACAAGACTCATCCAATTCGGCCACGAATGAGTGGGGAAAACACTTCGAAGATATTCGGCTTGAACACCATTCTCAGAGAGGGCCTACAAGTTTTTCTTGATGCTGAAGCTAGGTTCAAAGTTTAACAATGAGCTCAAGTCTAGAATTTGAAAAGAAAAGAACTAGATTTAACCAAAACTAGATTCAAAAACCAGCAAGCTTCTAGCTTCTAAAACATCTATGTTTTAATGATAACGGAGGTCAATTCTAGCTATTGTCAATTCTAGCTGCTTAGCTATTGTCAATTCTAGCTATTATCAATTCTAGCCATTATCAATTCTAGCTATTATCAATTCTAGCTATTGTCAATTCTAGCTATTATCTAGCTGCTTAGCTATTGATCTACCTGCATTCCAATCAATGCCTCGGGTTTCGTTCGATTCAACAATGCCGCTCCATATCCGTCGATGAGTAAAATGATGAGATTTTGTCCGATCGGTTCCCTTTTTTCCGTCTTCACAGGGATCATCCAAATGGTTCCCACCCAAATAAGCGCCCATCCCCAAAGAGGGGACATTGCTGAAAAGAATTGAGATTGGAAAGAAATGGTGTGCTCAAAAATAAAGCCAAGAAAAAACAAAGCTAAGAAAAAGAAAGCTAAGAAAAAGAAAGCTAAGAAAAACAAAGCCAAGAAAAAACAAAAGTAATAGCTTTAGAGTAAAGCGGAAGCAACAAAAAGAACCTTTTTCCCGATTGAATAACGGGAACGGGTTCTATTGTGATGGCTTTTGGAGAATTTTTTTTCAATACTTACGTTGAACTTTATATGAAATGTTAGGAAAAGAAAAAAATTGAAATAATGGCTTGAAGAAAAGGAGCTAGCATTGGGAAAAGATTTGAGTAAAAGAGATTGGGAAAAGATTTGAATTAAAGGACAGTGGAAATGTCAGGTAGCCCTGTGGCTAACTTTTCTTTAGTGTCACAGTTTATGGTAATCAGAATGATTGAATATCTGAGAACATAGAGTGATTGAAATTTGGTAATTCGATAATATCTCGCAAAATTGCGACGCCTTGGGAAAACCCCAACAAGTTACCTATTTCCTCTCATAGTTTGCATTTTAAATAGTAAATCAATAGCATCAATCAATTTTGGTGGGATACATCCGTCAATCTTCAAACGCGCATCAATCTGGCCTTTCTCATAATCCGTGAACAGCTTTCCTTGAGCAGCTCTCCATGAACAGCTTTTCTTGAACAGCTTTTCTTGAACAGCTTTCCTTGAGCAGCTCTCCATGAGTAACTTTTCGTGAGCAGCTTTCCTTGAACAGCATTCCGTAAACAGCTCTTCATGAGTAACTTTTCGTGAGCAGCTTTCCTTGAACAGCTTTTCTTGAACAGCTCTCCATGAGCAGCATTCCGTGAGCAACTTTCCATGAGCAGCATTCCTTGAGCAGTTCTCCATGAACAGCTTTCCTTGAACAGCTTTTCTTGAGCAGCTCTCCATGAGCAACTTTTCGTGAGCAGCTTTCCTTGAACAGCATTCCGTAAACAGCTCTTCATGAGTAACTTTTCGTGAGCAGCTTTCCTTGAACAGCTTTTCTTGAACAGCTCTCCATGAGCAGCATTCCGTGAGCAACTTTCCATGAGCAGCATTCCTTGAGCAGTTCTCCATGAACAGCTTTCCTTGAACAGCTTTTCTTGAGCAGCTCTCCATGAGCAACTTTTCGTGTGCAACTTTCCATGAGCAGCATTCCTTGAGCAGTTCTCCATGAGCAGCTTTCCATGAGCAGCTTTCCATGTGCCATTCACCTGGAAATTAACAAAAACTATAAATTTAATAATAAAATATGCACAACAAAAGGAAAACTTTTAAACAAAAGCAAAGACGAGTGCGCTTAAGAATTTGAAAAGATTGATTTTATCAAAAGTTTTTATTTTGAAAATTTTTACTTTTTACAGTATGCTTTTTAGTGTTTTTAGGTTTTTAAGACACGCTCTTTTCAATAAAAAAAAAGGAAGAATAGTTGCAGCGTTGTTCAAAATGCAAAAATATTTCTTTTGAGGGTGCGCTTAAGAATTTGAACTGTTTAAATTTAAACGCTTAAGGGTTTTAACTTAAGAACTGTAGCTGGCTAGCTGTAGCTGGCTAGCTGTAGCTGGTTAGCTGTAGCTGGCTAGCTGTAATGGGGATATAGCCGAATACCAGGAAAACTTTTCTCACCATTCTCTGCTGGGTTCTCAACCCAGCAGAGACCCCCATTTAGAAATTGCAGAAAAACAATAAATTCTTTGAGACGCTTGTTCAGGGCAATTTCGATGTAGTTGTGGGTCTTTTTTTATTGAGTGGGTCAAATGGTGAGGCTCATTTATCAAGTGGAAAAGGGAAGGGGATGGGGGAGGGGGGAGACAAGTCAATTGAGGGGGCCATTCAGTGATTCTTTCGGGCAGAAAAATGCGATTGGAATTTGAGGAATCAATAGCCAGTGATAACATCGAAGGAATTCGAAGTTTATAAGAAATTTTCGTTTATTGAATAAGTTGAAAGTTCGACAATTGCTTGACCGAAAAAAAAGGATAATTTTGAAAGAAATTCTCTTGAAAATAAGATACTTGAAAAAGAAAAATGATAAGAAAATCGATGTTTATTGATAGAAACATTGATAGAAAGCTATGATTCCAAGAACATTGATAGAAAGCTAAAGCTAAAGCTAAAGGCTACAGCTGAAGGCTAAAGCTAAAGCCAATAGCTAAAGCTAAAGCCAATAGCTAAAGCCAATAGCTAAAGCCAATAGCTAAAGCCAATAGCTAAAGCCAAAAGCTAAAGCTAAAGCTAAAGCTAAAGCCAATAGCTAAAGCCAATAGCTAAAGCTAAAGCCAATAGCTAAAGCCAATAGCTAAAGCCAATAGCTAAAGCCCAGAAAGCTAAAAGCTAAAGCCAATAGCTAAAGCCAATAGCTAAAGCAAAGTAAAGCCAATAGGTGATGGACTAAGAGCGAATGGCTGAGTAGCAAAGCTGAGCTAATAGGCAAGAATCAGATGATAGCTAAAGCTAAACCAATGACAAAGCCAAAGAGCTAAGTAAAGCTAAATGGCCATCCAAAACCTAGATCTAAGCAGAAACAGCTAAAATAAGCAAAGGCTTCAAAAGCAAATTGGTAGAGATGGAAGTGAAAAATGGCTTAAAATCGTGAAAATTGTGGTTTTTATCAAAATCTTCTTGGGTATATTTTCAGTTTTCGAGAAGGGAAAAATAAGTGTTTAAAAGGATTTAAAAGGATTTTGTCACAAATTATATCATTTATTTATTCTCTGAGCTAAATTTTTTACGTTAGAGGGTAAAAATCGAAATTTTCTTTACTCTGTGGGACTTTATTGACTATCTGAAAACCAGAATATTGGTACTCAAAAAGGAAATTCTTTAGATGATAACTATGGCAAATATTGGCTTGTTTCACGGCAAACATGGATAGGTACCGTAAAGACTGTAATAGTACCCCTTCCCCCTCGTACAGTCGCGTAGTCGCAAAAGTTTTTTAGTATTTCATTTTTTTCAAAGCGCCCGGCTTTGAACGAGTTTTTTTTCGACACTGGTTTAAGCTACAATGCGCGCTTTGGTATCAAAAAATAGCCCTGAATCTCAGCTATTTTTTGATACGCAAACGAACATTGTAGCATAAGCCAGTGTTGAGAAAAATGCTGTCAAAGCTAGACTACGCGATGCTCCGACCGTCATTATGGGGCTGGGGTACTATTACAGTATTTATGGTATTTAAGCGCTTAATTCAATTTCAATTTCAATTTGTTCTGAATTTGATTTGAATTTTCTCAAAAATTTGAAAAACTTAATGCTCTTAAAGTTTCTGACGACAATTAGAGTCTTGGAAAGGCTTTTTCAAAAGAAAACAAAAGCTACGAAATTTGTGGACACTTTTTAAAGCTCTTTAAAGCTCTTAAAGCTCTTAAAGCTCTTAAAGCTCTTTAAGGCTCTTTTAAAGCTCTTAAAGCTCTTTTAAAGCTCTCTTAAAGCTCTTAAAGCTTTTTAAAGCTCTTTTAAAGCTCTTTTAAAGCTCTTTAAAGCTCTTAAAGCTCTTTAAAGCTCTTAAAGCTCTTTAAAGCTCTTTAAAGCGCTTAAAGCTCTTTTAAAGATCTTTAAAGCGCTTAAAGCTCTTAAAGCTCTTTAAAGCTCTTTTAAAGCTCTTTTAAAGCTCTTTAAAGCGCTTAAAGCTCTTAAAGCTCTTAAAGCTTTTTAAAGCTCTTTTAAAGCTCTTTTAAAGCTCTTTAAAGCGCTTAAAGCTCTTAAAGCTCTTAAAGCTTTTTAAAGCTCTTTTAAAGCTCTTTTAAAGCTCTTAAAGCTCTTAAGAAACATGTCATTTTTCATTTGAATATATATAGTTTTCAAAAATAAACAATCTCTTTGAGAGTAAGCAATGTTTTTAAAGCAATGTTCTTAAAATTTGTCTCTTAAATGTGAAGAGACTAGATTTATTCTTTAGAGTGTACCACTCAAAAACGGAAACGCATCCTTTCTAGTGAGCTCAATTTTTCATTTTTAAAACTGAATTGCGAGGAAAAGCCAGAATTGAGTGCACTAGAAAGGATGCGTTTCCATTTTTGAGCACAAAGTGCAACTAAGGTTCAAATTGGGACCATGACGATTGGGCCACAAGCCAAAAACGAAAATTTTTAACACCGAAAGACCAATTTTCGCCTCTGGTCTTGGCGCGCAAATTTCGCAACGCAAAATTCGGCAGCGCAATTTTCGCTTTTTATCTTATGGCGCAAAATTCGTCGGCGCAATTTTCCTATGCTCAAATTTCGTTTTTGACGAGCAAAGCAAAGCTTACGGGGTAAAGCAAAGCTTACGGGGTAAAGCAAAGCTTACGAAGCAAAGCAAAGCGCGGCGCAACCGTGATGGTCTCACCAAACTTTGATAAATGAAACAAAATGAAATGAAGAAACATCAATTCGGAACGAATAATAAAGAAGCGTATCAGACTTTTACTTTTCCATCATTCTTTTCAATTCGGTGAATATTTTTGCATATTCAGAGACCGAGAGAAAAGTTCTTTGGAGGAAAATAGGGAAAATGGTGTGAAATTGATAGCATAACGAGTTTTTGAGTGCGACTATTTTTAAGTTCGAATTTTTCGCCTCACATCTGTTTGCCCAATGGCCGAGTGGTTAGCTCGCTGGCCCCAAGTGCGAGAGGTCAAGGGTTCGAATCCGCCATCGGTTGCACATTTTCCTTATAATCGAACTTTTCGAGTACGAATATTTTTTAAGCTCAAATTTTTTGAGCAGCCCCATGGCGCCCAATGGCCGAGTGGTTAGCTCGCTCGCCCCGAGTGCGAGAGTCAACGGTTCGAATCCGGCGCCGGTCAGCCTTTTTGCCGGTTTTTTGCTTTTTGCCAAAATCTCAAATAGAATAGAGATAACCTTTTTAAGCAAACAAGGAGCGCTCCCAACTTTGCGTCGTCTCCAAACCAGGAGCGGTAAAACCGTAGGTGACTCGCTCATCTACCAAAAATGCTACTTTGATCTGTGAAAAGATTGTTTCAATCGCATTCAAGAATTG